TCATTCATAGTAAATGTGTACTACTATTCCTCTTTCTAGAACTCCTTCTCTTCCCACCCCATGTTCCCTTTTACTTCTCTAGTTTCTGCAGTTATTCCAGATTACAAATTCAGATCTCAATATTCTAAGGTAGGATTTGGGCTGCTTCACTGAATATATTTTCTGTGGTTTTCTTGCATTTTCCCTCAAATTCCATGATTTTATTTTTTTCATACAACCAAATAGAATTCCTTCGTGTAGATACACCCTCTTTTCATTATGTGTTAAACAGTTAAGCGAAATTTAGAGTATTTCTGTTACATGGTTATTGTGACTGAAGCACGCAGTGAACATGGCTGAACAGGTAAATGTGGCAAAGGGTGTTGAATCCTTTGTACATATACTAAGGAGTGGTGTATCTCGGTTAAAGGGTAGATTTATTTATAGCTTTCTGATATAATTTTCAAAACTGATTTCAATAATAGCTGAATCCATCTGTTTTCCCACTAATAATGCATAAGTGTTGCCCCAATATCATTTACAGCATTTGTTATTTGTTGCCATGTTTACTTTGAACTAGCAATTTTGACAGGGACATGATGAAATCTAAGTTTAGTTTTAATTTGCATTCCTCTAATTGCTAATGGTGTTCAACACGTTTTGCATTTTTCCCATCCATTTTTATTTCTTTCCTTTGAAAACCATTGTTCAGTTTCATAGAGTTTTTTAAATTTTAATTGGGTTGTTCTCTAGCTTCATTGGTTTTTGAGTTTCTAGATACCAGTCCTTCGTCAGATATATAGCTGAGAAAGATTCACTACTGCTCCGTTAGCTTCCTCTTCATTTGATTTTTCTCTTTGCTATGCTAATCCTTTTTTAATTTTGGAAATACCAGTAGTCTTTGGTATTTAGCTGTTTGAGTCCTATTTAGAAAGTCCTGTCCTGATCTTTATCTTGTGGGATATTGCCTATGTTTTCTTCTAGTACTTCCAGTTTTGGGTTTATTTGGAGTTGAGTTTAGTGCAAAGTGAAAGATATGGGCTTAAATTTATTCTTCTGTATGCGGAGTTCCAGTTTTTCTACCACCACGTGTTAAAGATACTACATTTCCTCCTCCATATGTTTTTGACAACTTTGTTAAATACCAGATGGCTTTAGTTACATGCAGTGATGTTTGGATCTTCTCTATTGTTCTATTAAATCTTTTTTGTTGTTGTTGTTGTCTTTATTCGTTTTGTTGTTGTTTTGTGCCATTACTGTGCTGTTTTCATAACTATGTGTCTTTAAATCTAGAACAATAATCCCTGTAACATTGTTACTTTTGCTCAGAATTACTTGGGCTATATAGGATCTTTTGTAGTTCTATATGAATCCTAGGATGCTTTTTCCCCTATTTACATGAAGAATGTTTTGGAAATTGCTCCAATATCAAGTTAGCTTTAGTTAAGCCATCCAGTTATGGTTCAAAATAAGTAAACAGATTAAATCATATAAATGGAATTAGAGATGTGAACTACATGATCATCATAAAACATGCAGAAAGGCATTTAACACAAAACTAACTTGCCTTCATGATAAAGGCTATATATCACAAACCTATCCATCACTTTTCTAAATGAGGAGAATCTCAGAATCAAGTAGATAAATTATTCCTTTAATATTAGTACTGAGATATGGTAACTTTAGAGAAGGGGAGATAAAACCTCTTTATTTTGTAAGCGAACTGAAATTAAATTAGAATTGTATGTGAGGTGTTAGTCACATGTCTCCATTGAGGATTTTCTGATATAATTCATATGAGAAATACGCTGAGCACTGAAAGTTTAAATGCTCACAACTTAAATTTAAAAGGAACCACATTATAAAACAGGTTTGAAATGTTACCCTGCATATGACTACCTCTGAGGACTCAATAAAACTGTTGAGCCCCACGCCTATAAAGGAGGAGATGGTAAGTCTAGAAAGATTTTTGTAGCTCTGCATATTTATAGAGTTTCCTTTTGATGCAGAACTTGTTAGTTTAGGAACATGCTTTGAGCTGTGATAACTGTACATTAGAATTCCTAAAGTAAAGTTTTATTGTCCCAGTGCTTGATTAAATAATACACAAGTACTATCTGTAGCAGGCGTCAAATATTTGAGCAAATATATTATTGAATGTGTGTGTAAATATGATTATATGTGATATATTTTGCTATCAGGGATTGAATTAAAAGAATTGTGAGTAGATTTGGGTACGTCACTTTAGATACTTTAATCAAGGACATTTGTTTCTGTTTCTGGAATAAATTATTCTTGAGCAAATACAGTTATCAATTTTGTCCCATTCATTGAAAGTATGTTTTCGAATACTGATCCACACATACACTTGTAATGGTGATGTCATATGTAGTTGCTCTCACAGTAAAATGCGTTTTCATAGAACTAGTTTAGTATGTCTTTTTCTATCTCCCTCTCCTCACTCCTTCTCCTTTCTCTGTTTTCTCTTTTCCCTCTCCACTTTCTTTGTAACTCATCCTTCCTCATCTCTTCCCTCTCTTCCTTCTTCCCCCTCCTATCTCTCTTCCTCTCTCTTAATTCTTCCCTTTTTTCCCTCCCCCGCCCACTCTTGTTGCATTTCTTTATGTTTCTGCACTGTTTGCTCCATTTGGCTGGCCAGTCTTGTCTTTTCCTTCCTGTCTGCTTTTGCTGACATTGCAGATCTCATCACACTAGGTTTTTTTGTTTTGTTTTGTTTTGTTTTGTTTCTTTAACATTGGGCTTCAGAGTTTAAACTCAGTTTAGGATACTTTTACTGCTAGTAACGTTCTTTACTCAATTAGACATTCTTTGGCTCTCAACTCTGCTTTTTTACCTTCTTATAAAATACGTTTTTTTCCCCTAGGTGCCATATAGCAAAGGGTTTGAAAGAAACCATCATACTAAGTATTTCCTACCCCTTCTGTGCTTCAGTTTATCTACTGACCTGTTAAATAGGACTGTTTTTAGAAAGTTCTATGTTCCCTGAATTAGTTCTGATATAAATGGAAGGTAATCTGACAAATATAAAATGATATCATAGTATTTAACATTATATTTGATATTTTTGTTAGATCATCATAGTTCCTATGCTATTGAAGTCAAAACATACTGTAATTAATTGCCCTTTGTCTCAGAGATTGAACAAGAAGCTTAAACACTTCTCTTTAGCTATTAACACGTACAGTACTAGTAATACCAAAACCAAGAGTATTTTATATTTTAATCTATCTATAATAATATAAATAAATACAGTGTTTCCATTTCCATGCTATATAAATTATCTGATTTCTATAATATATGCTTCTTGGATGAATGCAACTCACTCCATATTTTCATTAGTCGTTTTTCCCTCATCCTTTCAGACACTGATTTTTCTTTATTCTATGTAACATCTAAAATTAAATATTAGGGAATTCAACAAGCCTCTTTTAAAATAGGATAAAGTAAACATGATTCTTTTTCAAGATTTGTCCTTGGAATAAATTCTTCTTTCAGGATCCATTTTATTTTTTAATATAAACTAAAAGCAATGTTATTTTGCATACCAATCCCAGGTCCCTCTCCCTCCTGTCCTCCTGTGCCTCCCACCAACCTTTCATCCCACCCCCATCTACTCCCCAAGGAGGCTGATGTTTCCCATGAGGAATCATGAAAGTCTGTCACATCATTTGGGGCAAGTCCTAGGTTCTTCCCCATGTATCTAGGCTTAGAGAGTATCCCTACAGAGGGGATTGATAGTTCTCATTTTGCTTGTGCATGTGGTGCTTTTCTTTGGTGGCAATGCCTACAAATCAGCCTTTTTTTATATATTGAGAAAATGTTCCCAGAGAAAATAAATCAAGCTAGAAGAATCTAAATTCTTTGATGATCACATCAAATAAATACAGGATTTAAAAGTGAAAGTATGAGCCTTAATCTAATTCTCTGGTATTTTGTGGGAATATGGTGCCACTATGCAGACTTTCCTATTCTTATTAAGGTTATTATTTATTTTCTTGAGACAGCTCCCTGGACTGTAAAGATCCCTTACAATATAGGTGGGAGGATTTGAACCAGACCCCAATAACAAGCCATGAGTTCTAGTTTTGAGTGACTGTAGTAGAATCTTCCCTTAGAAGATAGTAAAAAATAACCAGTACCTGGTTTCTAAGTGGATGAGAGTACAAAGGAAGAACATCAGTAGCATTTGCTACACTATTTTTCCTTCTGTAATTATAATAATTGTTAGAGCAAGAGTTATCAGTGTCATTTCCTTGATGGGGATGATGATAGAATGTATACTATTTTATTTAGAAAATTGTTAGTGTGAGTAAATTAAGTGTGTTAATTTCAACTCTAAAATTACAAGATGTATGGACTTTCATTTATATTTATAAATAGTTTTAAATTTTTATAAAGATAACTTTTTCATTCTTCATATCTTACATGTTAAACCCATCCCCTTCCCTTTTCCCACTGGTATTCCATCTCCTATTTTCTTGCTTTTAAACATGAACATGCAAACACACATGATTTTATGCATATGTTACATCCATATTTCACAGATGAGAACAGATTAAGAATGCTGTATTGTCTGTTCAGTAGCTTTGCTGTTATAAAGAGTATAGCAACAGACATGGGTGTGTTGTCTTTGGTGTGTTGATGTAGAATGCTTTTTAAAGTATATGGGGTTAGTATAGTAGTGTCTTATCGTAATTTAACTTTTTAAGAACTTCTGTACTGCCTGGCATAGTAATTTGAAGCTGTATTTTTAACCTGTGCAGTTAATCATCTCTTTTGTGGAGTGTATTTTATAGGGACACATGTAAACTTTTGAAGATTTAAATTTACAAACTTTTAAGGTATTCTCAGTGGCTATCAAAAACAAGAGAGAAGGAAAGAAAAATGATAAATAATTTGTGTTTTCAGGATTAAAATCATCTTGAATAATTATAACTATTTTATTGCCTTTACTGCATGTGAAGTTATTATTTTATTGATAAAAGTATTTTCACTTTTAGGTTTTCACTCCCAGTTACAGCAACAGCAGAAAATTGCATTCTGACTATTTATCTATATTTGGCAGTTCATCTGGACAAGCAAAAGGTTATTTTAAAGGATGGTAAGTTGTTTATGACTGATAACATTCTCTTACAGTTCAGATTATTCCCCATGTGTCCAGGCTGAGAGAGCATCCCTCTGTTTGGAATGGGCTCCCAAAGATCATTCATACGCCATGGTAAACACTGATCTACTACCCAAGGCCCCAGTGATTTCTGTGGTCTCCTCACTGACACCACTTTCATGCAGTCTGGATCAGTCTCCGGTTGGCCTCTCAGCCATCCGTCTGGGATTAAAGAGCTCTCCCTTATTCAGTCACCTGTGTTTGTGGGTTTCACCATCATGGTTGGTTATTTTCACATCTGTAGTTCCTGTTCATTTGCCCAGATTTTACATTTCCAGGATTCCCTCAGTTTGTGTTTTCTTTATTGCCTCTATTTCAATTTTTAAGTCTTGAACTGTTTGAAATATTTGCTTCACCTGTTTGTTTTTTCTTGGTGTTCTTGGCTTACTATAAGAGATTTATTTATTTCTTCCAGTTCTTTGTCTTTTCCTCTATTTCTTTTAGGGAAATTTTCATTTCCTCTTTAAGGGTCTCTATCATCTTCATAAAGTTATGTTTAAGGTTCTTTTCTTCTGCTTCTTCTGGGTTGGTATGTTCAGGTCTTCCTGTTGTGGGAACACTACATTCTGGTGTTGCAGTATTGCTCTTTAGGTTGTTGAATATATTCTTTCATTGGTGCCTACCCATCTCTTCCCCTGACTGTTGCAGGCTCTTGGTTCAATCCTGCAGTAGGTGTCTGTGTGTCAGGGATTCTTTCTTGGACCGATTGTTGCAATTGCTGTCTGTGTTGCAGTGAGTCACTCTTGGTCAGCTTTTTACAGTTGCTGTCTGTGCCTAGGGGAGCTACTGAGGTCTCCGTGGATGAGTGAGTTTGTTGCCACAGTGGGACTTGTAGATTGCAGGTTCCAATGGAGGGATGCTGGACAAAGCTACCTTCAGGTGGCATGCCCACTGATGTGTATTGTGACTGAGGCAGGTGGGAGACAAGCCTAGGCTTTTGCCCCAGAGTCTAGGGCCTAGGGACTGGGCTGTCCAGCTATGGGACTGGTCACTCACCTCTTGGTTCTCTCTGTACAGTCACAGTCTGAGATGTCTCAGGGAGCCACAGAGGTTGGGGAGGTGGTGTTAGTGTAGGTGTTGTCTGCTGCCCTCATGTTGTGGCAGAGGTGAGTGGGAGATGAGGCCAGGGTTTTGACCCAGGTACTAGAGTCTAGACATTGGGCTGCCAGCTGTGGGGCTGGTTACTGCACTCTTGGACCTCTCTGTTCAGTCACAGTCTGTCTCAAGTAGTATATTCTAACCATCACAAAATTGATTGTTTCTCAAAAAAGAATTTATTCATTTAATCCTATGCTCCTTTTTCATCGAGTACTTTGATTCCATTCATTTCCCATCCCTTCACATCTGCCTTTTGACCCTGCACATACCCTAATAATACAAAATTTAAGAGGAAAAATGGAAAAAATTAAAAAGGGAAGAATGAATATCTCATAATGGGAGCTGCAGTGTGACACAGTAAGTTATACTGTAGACACCTTTGTCCATAATTTTTATTTGCAAACGTTCATTGCAAGGAATCATTGGGTTGGTTTGAGCCCTCTGGTTACTCTACACTATCAATGCTGGACCCTCACTAGGACTCTTCCTGGATTCCTATTGTTGCCCTGTGTTGTGGAGATCCTGCAGCTTTGGATGTACAAGATTGACCCCTTCACATGCAGATCATGAATGGGATGGTTGTTGGTGCCTGCCAAGTTCTAAAGCTGTATTTGGGCGTGGGCAGCTGTATGGTTGGTCCACCAAATGGAATATGGAGACAGCTCTCCCATCCTTGCAACTTCAGTGCTGGCTCACTTACATCTGCACTAGCAGCGTTGACTCTCCCACTCTTAAGATCACAGGGCCAGCTCTCTCACCTGCTTCCAGGCATTGATGTGAGGGAGGGCATCATTCCCCTGCCCATGCTGGGACAAGACAGATGAAAGATGGCAGATCCCTCCCATGCTCATAATTTCTAGGGTAGCTCACCCACACCTGAGCTAACAAGATTGGCTCTGTTATGCTGCCCTGGAGAGGTGCAGGGTTTTATCTCCAGAGCATTGCAGCTGGTCAGGGTCATGGATGTCTTTCCCATTCTTATGACCACAGGGCCAGCTCTCCCACCTGGCCCAGGCATTGATGGGTAGTGGGTAGACAAAATTGACTTTTAAAGAATTTTTATAGAGTAGTCATATCGGCATGACAGTGTTGCAGTCTGACGGATGGACAGACAGACAGACAGCCAGACAGGTAAATATGGGTGGTTGGGTGGATAGAGAAATAATGAGAGAACAGCAGAGAGAGACACAGACCGATAACAACTGAGACACTGAGAGTCCCCTGAGACCTAGTAGGTATAATTTCGATGATAAATTATGAATAGTTTTGCTCTAAAATATTAGGAAAAGAGCCTGGAATATAACAGCTTCTTGATATTTGATACTGCTTTTGAAGTATGTCACACAAACTGTGACCTCAGGACCTGTGGTTGTGGTTTTTTTTTTAGATAAAATTATTTTCAGAGACATTGTATAAGATACCTAGAATAGAGGAACTCAAGATTAGTCCTACCAAACATATGAGTTCAATTTTTTAACTGTACAGTTAAAAATTAATATATATAAGTATATATACTATACATGTGTGTGTGTGTCTATAATAATTTGAAAACTCTAAAGTATAGTAGTTGTAACGGGAATAGGGATTAAAATATCTAAAATGGTATCTGCTTATCAAAAAGAAGTGATTTTATTTTTGAAGATCAATAAGGAAAATGTATTTTTGATAGTGATCCTTGTCTTTATGTAGTAATTCTAATTATTTGATGTAATAGCATTTAAAATGTTTTACACATTTTTGTGCTAAAGTTAAATATTGTTCATTCTCCCGTTTAACTTCAGCTTATCAAAATAATTCCATTCAGTTTACACAACCATACCAGCGGATGCTATTTTGTCAACTCATACAATAACACAATTGATATTTAGGCCTTTTCTTTTGCTATTTTATATAAATTATGAAATACAGGTTAAAAATATGATATGAAATTTTGCAAACATTTCTGTTGCTAACTATGCTCTGATTTGTCATTTGCAGGTAAACAAGGAAATACTACAAAGCCTAGAGGCAGTTTTTTGATTCCTGTGGTTCCACGTCGTGAATCGAAACATTTTGCAAAAAAAGGATCCATTGTTTCTAAATTTTATGATGCTGAACTTACATATGGGAACCTATTTGTTGGTATGTATAATGAACTTCTCAAATATAGTCCATGTTAATAATTTTCTCAGTATCAAAATAGTATTTCAAGAAATAAATTCATTAAAAATCCATTGGATTTATCACAGTCTTACTGGTTCATTTTCTGTGGGTAAATTTTTCAATGATTAGCAATAGAAATTCACTGCATTTACAGTAGTCTTAATACCACTGTATGCCAAAATTTGTACCCCCTGGTTCCTTTCATTAAGTAGCTGAGTACAAAATCTAAGAGTAGGTTTTTTTCTTTATTTAACTAAAATGTTAAATATCCTGTTGATCCCTTGTAAATTTTTTGTAATATTGTAAGTACCCTATGTATACAGCTTGTGATCTGCAGATTTAAGGGCTTTACTACATGTTTTAAGCTGGATTCAAGGTAACCTGGCTTAGAAAGTTATAAGCATAGGTAAACATGGGAGTTTGATTGCATTTGAAATTAATTTTAGATATTCCTTTTTCTAGCTATCACTCATGCATTAAAATTAACATTTATCAGTTGGATAAATACATCATCAATTATGTGTGTCTTATGTATTTTTGTAATTGCATATGTAAATATTTTTGAAAAAATACAACATGCTAATTTATATTGGTTAAATTCTCATAATACAAATTATTTTGTTATATTTAAGTACACTGCTCAGAGAAAAAGACATTTTGGATATGTAGTTGATATTTTGGCTGAAGTCTAATTTTGTATTAGCAATAGCAAAGAATGTTAATCAGTTTTTTATGTAAACAAAATTAAACAGTATATTTTGAGGAATATTTGTGAATAAATTCCTGACAAGTATAAAACATCTCTCTTTTCTATATTGAATATATATACTACAAACTTTTTGAGTATTTGGAAATGACATTATTATTATTATCTTTAAAATATAGTAGATGCTTACAAATTTATTAGAGAGAGTAGAATACTTTTTTCAAAGGGTTTTTATTTTCCTATAAGTAGCAATAACTCAAAGAATACTCTGTGGTCAAATAATAATTTACATAACAAATGTGGACTTTAGGGATGGAAATTGCACGTGATCATGTGGACTCAGATGACAGTATTTCAGATAGAGCCAATGCTGGTTCTCTGGAAAATGAAGAGAAGAATCAACAGTTCTTTGCACCTGAAGAAGGATCAAAGGCTTATGACTACTTTCAAAAGGTTGTCAATGCAGCTCAGACCTGGTTCAGTCTCTTTGGGTGGCCTGAAGGGCCCCATTCTCTTTCTATTCCTGAGACAATAAGAAGGTGACTATACATATTTTATAAATTCTATGCTCTGCATTTTTCTACAATACAGTGTGCTTATTTGGATCATTTTACATGAAACAAGCTTAACTAATTTATTTTATACAGATGAATCGTTAATAGAATATAGAGAGTAAGAAGATGCAAATTTAAATTCTGTGATTCATGTGTACTTCAACATGATAATTTTATTTGACTTGTTAGTGAGTGTTGATTCTATAAAATGTTGAGTTTTAGTTTTGGTATTTACACAATTATACTGTACTTGATGTTGCTAACTTTCTCATGTTCTTTTGTACCCACCCCACTGGCCTCCTTTATCCTTTGAAATATTTTTTCCTTATACTTTCATGTCTTCTTATAATTTAGATTCTGTTTTTGATAGGAAATGTGGTACTATTTTTGTAAATCTGCTTCATTTCCTTTTAGGTGATAATAGTCTGCTGCCTCACTTTCTTGTAAGAAATATGATTTCATCTCTCTTTATGTTTGAGTGTGTGTGTGTGTGTGTGTGTGTGTGATAGTGTTAACTTTTTTCCTTACAGTTCATCTTTAGACGAATTTAGGATGGTTGCATAACTTGATGATAGCTATACTGTCTAATTTCATTCCATTTCATTTATATGCAGGAATCTTTTTATCTGTATCTCAGTACCCTCTCTTATGAAATAGATACATTGGTTTGACTTTTTATTTGTACCCTGGATGTCTCATATGTTGTTGTCATGATTATTCCTTTATTGTTTTCATAATAATTATTGTTTAACTTCAATCCTTGATATTCCATCTTCTTTTTTACTCAATCTGTTGGTGATTATTTTTACTGAGATTTTTTATTGATTTCCTGAGTTTTTCAGTTTTGTGACTTCCATTTGTTTCCTCAATATATTTTCATATGAGATCTTTTGTTTGTGAGACAGGATACTGCTATGTATCTGTAGCTCAGGAATTCCTCATGTAAACTAAATTGGCCTTAAACTATGGCAATTCCCCTGCCTTTCTATACCAAGTACTACAATTACAGGTGTGCTCCTACATCCATGGCCTGGGATTAATTTCTTTTCTTTTCTTTTTTGTGAGGACCTTAGGATTCTTTTTCTTTTTGTCTTTTTCCTTTTTTAATTTAAATTAGAAACAAGCTTCTTTTACATGTCAGTCACAGTTCCCTCTCCCTCCTCTCCTCCCCTGGCCCCTAGTGACCCCCTATCTAAATCCAATTCCCTTTCTGCTCACCAGGGAGGGTGGGGCCTTCCGTGGGAGATCTTCAAAGTCTATCATATCATATGGAGCAGGGCCTATTCCCTCCCCCGTGTGTCTAGGCTGAAAGAGTGTCTCTCTATGTGGATTGCACTCCCAAATTCCATTCTTGTACTAGGAATAAATACTGACCCGCTACCAGAGGCCCCATAGTTTAACCAGACATCCTGAGTCTGTAGTCCATGAGCAACCTGTTGTTCAGGTCAGCTGTTTCTTTGGGTTTCTCCAGTCTGATCATGACCCCTTTGCACATCACTCCACCCTCTCTGTTACTGGATTCCATAGTTCTGCTCATTGTTTAGCTATGGGTGTTTTTTCTGCTCCATCAGCTACTGGATGAAGGCTCTAGGATGGTCTATAAGGTAGCCATCAATCTCATTATCTGAGAAGGGCTTTTAAGGTAGCCTCTTGACTATTGTTTAGATTGTTAGTTGGTGTCAAACTTGTAGATTTCTGAACATTTCCCCAGTGACAGATTCCTCTTTAAACCTATAATGGCTCCTCTATTCTTCCCGACTTGATCTTCTTGCTCTCTTCTGTGCTCCTCTCCCCTCTGATTCTCCCATTCTCTTTCTCCTAACTCCCACTCCACTCCCCCATGCTCCCAATTTGTTTAGGAGATCTTATCCCTTTCTCCTTCTCCAGGGGACCATGTATGCCTCTCTTAGGGTCCTCCTTGTTTCCCAGCTTCTCTGGTGGTGTGGATTGTAGGCTGGTACTCCTTTGCTCTATGTCTAAAATCAATATATTAGTGAATACATACCAATATTGTCTTTTTGTGATTGAGTTACCTCACTCAGGATGGTTTCTTCTAGTTTCATCCATTTGCCTTAGAATTTCAAGATTCCATTATTTTTCCCCGAGTAGTATTACATTGTGTAAATGTATCACATTTTCTCCATCCATTCTCCGTTTGAGTGGCATCTACTTTGCTTCCAGGTTCTGGCTATTACAAATAATACTGCTATGAACATGGTTGAACAGATGTCCTTGTTGCAGGAATGTTCATATTTTGGACATATGCCTCAGAGTAGAATTGCTGAATCTGGTGGTAGACTGATTCCAGTTTTATTGAGGGACCACCATACTGATTTCCAAAGTGGCTGTATGAGTTTATACTCCCACCAGCAGTGGAGGAGTGTTCTCCTTTCTCCACATTCTCTTCAGTATAAATTGTCCTTTGTGCTTTTGATTTTATCCATACTGACAGGAGTAAGATGGTATCTCTGAATTGGTACGGGAGACCACTTCCTGAACCACAATCCAGTGCCACAAACACTGAGATCGTCAATTAATAAATGGAAGCTCCTGAAACTAAGAAGCTTTTGTAAGGCCTATGACAAACACTGAGATCGTCAATTAATAAATGGAAGCTCCTGAAACTAAGAAACTTTTGTAAGGCCCATGACACAGTCAGCAAGGCAAAACAGTAGCACAGAGAATGGGAAAAGATATTCACCAATCCCACATCTGACAGAGGGCTGATCTCCAAAATATACAAAGAATAAAAAAAAAAAAACTGGTCACCAAAACACCAAACAATCCAATTAAAAAGTGGTGTACAGAACTAAATAGAGAATTCTCAATAGAGAAATCTAAAATGACTGAAAGACACATAAAAAGTACTTACCATCCTTAATCATCAGGAAAATGCAAATCAAAACAATTCTGACATACTCATTTTTTTTTATGAGACAGGGTTTCTCTGTATTGTTTTGGAGGCTGTCGGTCCAGGCCAGCCTCAAAGTCACAGAGATCCACCTGCCTCTGCCTTCCGAGTGCTGGGACTAAAGGCGTGCGCCACCACTGCCTGGCCCATGCTCATTTCTTTTAATCATCTGTGCTTTGAGTTTTCTTTGAAGTTAATAATCATTTTATAAATGGGCTATTATAAACATCGGAAGTTTTGGATGTATAGTTTTCCTCTTGCCTGTCTGTATTTCTTAAGTTTTAATGCTGGGATGTGCAGCTGTTTTATTTTATTGATTTTTTTCATTTGTCAGGTTTTTCTTTAGATATCAGTCTATATAGAAAAGTCAAACACTTATAAGGACAACCATTACATACTAAATCAGATAGAGAAATCAGTTAAGAATGACTTTCCTTAATAATCAGAAAATAAATTGGCAAACAATGTACAGTATAGTCTGATATAAAATTTAGGAATTTTATTTTTTTAAAGAATGTGTAATACCAAAATAACGGCTTGGTAATAAAGGGAAAAACAGAAATACAACACAGTCAAGTCCAAAATAAAGAAGAGAAAGGGAAAGATTGTGAGGGAATGGAAGAGAAAACAACAATAGATTTTAAACTAATTTTTGAAGATTTTGGAAGGAGGGATGAATATTATCATGTATGGACATTTCAAAGAACTGATAAAAGTTCATATTTAATACAAAGGATCTGATTACAAAGTAAAAAATGTGCAATATAATTAAATAAATGTAAAATGAAAACAATTTTAAATAAAATATGAATAAAAACATTATTAAACCAGTAAAAGAAGAGTTAAAGAAGAAGATAAAGGTTGCAGAATATTTTTCTAGTTCCCTTGTTAATGGAATAAACTAGGACTTGGTCACAGCTAGTGTTTATTGTAGTTAGGAAGTATGTCTTCTCTAATATATCCCAGAGTCATGAAAGCAGAATGAACACTGAGATTTATATTGTATAGGATTAACAGAGGAACTGGGTACTCAGCCTACCCATCTTAGCTTTTTCAGACCCATCCTAGCAAGACCAGTCTATGGGTTCGAAGATCATGAGGAATATAGTCATCTATCTTCATGATTGAGCCCAGAGTTCTCGTTCCAAGCTTATACGAAACCATCATGTAAAAGTGACAACTCCAGAGGCCAAACTCCAATCAGCTGGCAGTTGTTTAAATACTTATACAGTAACCTGCAAGTAATTGAGCTTGCACCTTATTGCACAGAGCGTGATATACTGTTAACCTCACTGACTGATTCTTGTTTCTATTTATTATGTTATTTGTTAGATTTTCACTTAATTTTTATGTGACTTATAGCTCAATGATACAATTCCTCTGCCTTGAACATAATACATGTAGTTAATTTACAGTCTGTTGCACACTTTATTATCTGGAGCCCCATGTGTCTGTTATTGGCTGTTGTTTATTCATTTTTATTTACCTTGTTTATGATATTAGTTTTAAAGTATTTATTTCCTAATAGTAATTCTAGAGTATAAGAGCTCTACTATATTTTATATTTTTCAGTAAGCTGGCAGGAGTACACAATAATTGGTATAGCCATGTTTGATCAAGTTAACCCTTTACTAATACAATGTATTATTAGGCTACTGAGACCCTTTGTACCAAACTTGAGAGGTTCTTATCTAAATGACCCCTTAGATACTTTCGATTTCTCAATCTGAGCTCATGATACATCTGTAATTTTAATTGTTGATATACAATTTACCATGGGATATATAACAAAATGTAGAAAGCCAAGATTGCTATACTTTTTTTCACTCCATTAAAAAAATGAGTATGTATCACAATCTCTGCAAAAGATGTAGGGAATGAATATTGCTATGTCTTATGTGGAGACTAGTTTTGTATATAAGAACAGTAGAATTCTTTTTTTTTTAAAGAGGAAAGGTGTATTTGGCTCATAATTCCAGGTTACATTTCATTGTTGCAGGGAAACTGAGGCATCAAAAGCTCAAAGTATTTGACCATAGTTAAGCAGAAAGCAGTGGATCAATGAATGCACACTAATGCTCAGTTCACTTTCTCCACTCCAACCCCTAAGCTGGCAGGTCTTCCCACTTCAGCTAACATAACCAATAGAATCCCCCACAGAGCTAGTCTAGACAGTCCCTCACTGAGACTTCCTTCCTCCAGACTGTGTCAAGTTGATAACTAAAACTAACCATCACACTGGGTACACTGGGGTTAGCCATGACTACTTTAGTCAGGAGCACATAGCCCTCTGCACTGTATATTTTTTTTATTTTCCAGTTTAAATTTAGATAAGAAACAAGGTTGCTTCACAAGTCAGTTCCAGGTCCCTCTCCCATTCCCTCCCTTCCTCCCGAACCCTTCCCCCCCCCCCGTTATCCCCTCATTTCCCCAGGGAGGGTGAGGCCCTCCATGGGGGTGTGCATAGTCTGTCATTTCATATAGGGCAGGGCCTAGACTCTTCCCCAAGAGTTCAGGGTGAGAGTGCACCTCACATTGTTCTATGGGAGTCCAAAGTCCGTGTGTATACTTGGGATGGGTACTGATCTGCTGCCCAAGGCTCAATAGATTCCCTAGGCCTCCTCACTGACACCCAGATTCAGGGGGTCTTGATCAGTCCCATGCTGGCTTCCCAGGCTGATGCCTGGGATTCAAGAGTTAACCTTTGTCTGGTCAGCTGTTTCTGGGGGTTAAACCAGCCCAGTCTTAATCCCTTTGATCGTCAGTCCTCCCTCTCTGTTACTGGCTTTCTTGAGTTCAGCTCAGTACTTAACCAAGGGAGTCTGCCTCTTCTTCGATCAGCCACTAAATAAAGTTTCTGTTTCCCAGACTCTCTGGGCATAGGATTGTAGGCTGGCACTCCCCAGATCTATGTCTAAAATCCATATATGAGAGAGTACATGCCATGTTTCTCTTTTTGTGACTGGGTTACCTCACTCAGGATGGTTTCTTCTAGTGTCATCCATTTGCCTGCAAATCTCATGATTCCATTATTTTTTTCTGCTGAATAGTACTCCATTGTGTAGATGTACCACATTTTCTCTATCCACTCTTCAGGTGAGGGACATCTAGGTTGCTTACAAGTTCTGGCTATTACAAATAAAGCTGCTATGAACATAGTGGAACAGACATCTTTGTTGTATGAATGGGCATCTTTTGGATATATGCCTAAGAGTGGAGTTGCTGGGTCTTGTGGTAGGTTTATTCCCATTTTTCTGAGGAATCTCCATACTGCTTTCCAAAGTGGCTGAACCAGTTGGCACTCCCACCAGCAATGGAGGAGTGTCCCCCTTTCACCACATCCTCTCCAGCATAAATTGTCATTAGTGTTTTTGATTTTAGCCATTCTGACAGGAGTAAGATGGTATCTCAGAGTTGTTTTGATTTGCATTTCCCGGATGGCTAAGGATGTTGAGCACTTTCTCAAGTGCCTCTTAGCCATTTTAGACTCCTCTATTGAAAACTCTCTATTTAGTTCTGCAGCCCACTTTTTAATAGGGTCCTTTGGTGTTTTGGAGACTTGCTTCTTGAGTTCTTTGTAAATTTTGGAGATCAACCCTCTGTAAGATGTGGGATTAGTGAATATTTTTTCCCATTCTGTGGGCTGCCTTTTTGTCTTGCTGACTGTGTCCTTTGCCTTACAGAAGCTTCTCAGTTTCAGTAGGTCCCATTTATTAATTGTTGATCTCACTGGCTGTGTTACTGGTGTTATGTTCAGGAACCTATCTCCTGTACCAATTCGTTCAAGGGTACCACCCACTTTCTCTTCTAAGAGGTTCAGTGTTGAGGTCTTTGATCCATTTGGACTTAGGTTTTGTGCATGGCGATAAACATGGATCGATCTGCATTCTTCTACATGCCAGTCTCCAATTATGCCAGCACCATTTGTTGAAGATGCTTTCTTTATTCCATTGTATATTTTTAGCTTCTTTGTCAAAGATCAGATGTTCGTACGTGTGTGGGTTAATACCCGGATTTTCAATTCGATTCCATTGGTCTACCTGTCTCTTTTTGTGCCAATACCAAGCTGTTTTCAGGACTATAGCTCTATAATAGAGCTTGAGGTCAGGGATGGTGATGCATACATTTCTTGTAGAATTCTACAGTAGAATTCTTAAATGTATGTTTAAAATAAGAATCCTTACTACATGACTGTTCATGCTATACTATATTAAATGTTAAATCCCAAATATGGAGAATGTGAGTGAATTTATTTTTCATACACATGTATGATATATGTTTTAAAATTTAAAATTATCTTGGAAAATATAGAGATTGTGTTAGGGTACTTCTCATATTAACATATATTGAATAGATGAGAGCATGGATCAACGTTATTGTCTTTTCTCAAACCCATTCCGTTTCTAGTCCACACTTTGAGCCCCTCAATTTCAGTATTAGTGATATGAGTGTATATGAGATTGTGTAACATCTTTGGGAATATTTAAAATTTTAATTTACCCTTGCAAATATTAGCCACGTGAATTTAGAATTTATTGCCCTGTCTACCCTGGTATTATTTGCTTTCGCTATTGACCATATGTTTGCATAAGGTAACATTTTGAGACCGACGTTCATTTACTCCTTTTTTTCTAATAGGGATGTGCAGAAAATACAATTCTATTCAGCATCCTCACCAGCCAAGAAATATTCCAGACAATATGATTTTTCCAAATATAATAAGACAATTTATGATGTGGTTCTTCACTTGAGTGGAAGACTGCCACCTGGAATTAACTCAAACCAGTCTTTACCTGTGGATAACACTGAAAGGGTGATCCAGCTCCATTCACAACATGCCTCACTTCTAGACTTTATCACGTAAGAGCTTAGATACACTAGTTCAAACATGTAATTGTGCCTTAGTTGCTTCGATGAATGGATGCACATGTGAGTGGATTGAAGGAAATAATTGATCTCTTGTTTCAAAATCTATTGTTATACACGTTGTAATATATAACACAAAGAAGTATATACTTGTTAACGTCAGCATCCCATAACATTTTTGGATACATAATGTTATACACTACCATTAAAACTTCATAATGTGCTTAGATCATTGCTATGGCTTGTTAAAACAACTTGCTCACTCTTAATAGGGTTTATGATGCTAATTTGGATTATATAAATTGCAAGACAATGTGGATAGTCCTAGTCCCTGGTGTATTTTGAAGGCTTATATATCATAAATCCAGTGAGCAAAAAAATTTGAAACTACTAAACATCTTTAGAGTACTGGTAGCATCATATCTTAGATTATGTGAGGGAAAGGCTCTTAAGTTCCCATAGACCTACTGAGAGTAGATTGCTTCTGGAGAATGGCAGTCAATTCTCTTTAAAAATATGGACCCTGGTAGATTGCTCATGCTCCAGGAGATGACTCCATAACCTTGTTCATGAGGACAGCATTAATTGAAATCATTGTGTCATTAAACAGAAAAATATCACATGAAAATGGGACTATAATTCTTTTCAGGGACGGCCTGGGAGAAAGGATTGTGTACTTGGTATGATCAAGATACTTTGTAAACATGTCTTAAATTATCAAAGAATTTTTTTAAATTAAAAATTGTCTCAGACAAACATGTACAGATAGATATTAGTGCCACTCTTCTAAGCTCAAATGCATGACTGTTAATGATTCTGAGAGACCTGAGATAATTCTCTAGCCCTTCTTTAGAAAAGAATAAGACATTGGAAATAGAAAAGTGGATGTGTGGCTTGACATCACCTTGTGACTGTAAGAAAGCTTGAAGTTGAATTTGAGTCTTTACTGCCAGTTAATACTCCTCTTCCCTGAAGCCATGTTTCATTAATGGGGGTAATCCTAAAATTGTTTCCTTGCTATTTCCTAACTGTAACTTTGCAATATATATCTGATATTCATGATATCTGATATGTGACCTCTAAACAGGACACACACACACACAAGTTGAGAACCACTGTTCTGAATGAAGTTAGGGTGAGAGAATTGGAAAATTGCGTCAGTTATAAAAAATAGCAAAAGTATAATTATGTAAATAATTTTAACTCTACTGTTATTTATGTATTTAATTTTGCCCTACTTAAAATTCCTATCCTAGTACACTGAGTCTTAAGATAACAGTATGTGGAGGAAAGGTCTCCAAGTTAAATGAAGCCAGACATAAAGAGGACTTGGGCCATTATAATACATATATTGGGAACTTTATTGAAAGGTTGACATTTAACTATAAGAAGTTACACTTTTTCATTTAATTTATTATTTTCTTATTTTAGTCTTCAAAGAACTAATTTAATAAAGTAAGACCACTACTTAAATAAGGCAAATTTCAGATATATTTGTTTAACAATGAGATTTATATAACTTAGTGGAATATTTACTTGGAGATAAAGAAGTGTTAAGTACTTAGCACTGTGGCACTTGTGATTATTGTTTGCATATTTCCCAGTAGTTTTGACATTAACATGGGTCATTCTGTTTTGACATTTTTTGATGTGAACATTGCAGGTATGGAAATATGATTTTGGCATTAAAGTCAAGCCATTCAGAGTTATTTGTTCTTCATTAAAAAAATACTTGGCTGTCAGGATGTGATGACTCCGATAAAATTATTTAACATTTAGAAAGTGACAGCATTGTTTATAAAATTGGGTCATTAATCAAAGATATGTGCATATGTTTCATCAAGGAAAATGTATTAAAATTCAAAATAGTTGCAAATGTTATTTCCTTTCCCTCATAACTCAGTGGTTATGGACTTTTGCATAGATACCTACTTAGTTATTACATGAGTCATGTTTAGAGTTTAAGAATTTTAAAGACATCTAATGTTTTAAGATTACATTTAGAATTGATTAATCTATCATATGTATTCTTGTTATGAAATACTCATTGTAAACTCAGGATATTGAAGTAGTAAGCCTATGTAAAAGTATAATCAAATGTGTCATTGTCTATCCCTGGAATACAAACAGTCATCGTGTGCCCATAGCACAAAGAGGGATGCTCTCTCAGCCTGGACTCTTAGGGGAGTGCCTGGACCCTACCCAGAGTGAAATGACAGACTCTAGACATCCCCTATGTGGAAGGATTTGGCAATAGGGTGGGAGGCTGGGGGGGGAAGGGGAGTGCGGGAGGAGGGGAGGGAGAGGGAACTGGGATTGACATGTAAAACAAGCTATTTAAAATTAAAATAAAAAATGATAAAAGAAAAAAAAACACAGTTTTCTGTAAGAGGGCAAAGTAGACATGAAATCTTGGTGAGACAAAAACATAATGACTATCTATGTAGTCATAAATTTAGGCTTTGAGAACTATTTGAAATAAAAACTGTGTATGTCAGTGTCCACAAGTACATTAATCATCCTGAACTTTTACACAGCTTTATTTTGCTGGGCAATAGGTGGTCATAAGTAACAAGTTATGTTCCTTCTTGACAAGCTGTCATTTAATTTGTTCGATTTCATTAAGCTGTGAGTAGCCTTAGTTAGAATTGATTAGTTGCTTCTAAAATATTGCATTGCCTTAGTCACACAGAAGTTTTCTTTTTTTCTGCAAATTCCTCCGAATTGCCTGTATTTTGTTGTACTCTATTTTAAGTTATCTCACGAGATTGCAACTTAATAAGAATATATGTACTGAAGGATTCTAGAACTGTGCTCACTGCTTCGATCTCGCAGGTTTCTTTCCCCACATTTCTAAAGTAAGTGCGTCTGTAACTTTGCAGTGTCATCTTAAACCGCCTTTCTTCCTGCTATTTACTCACTTCTCTGGAAGCACAGGACTAAACTACTGAATTGAGAGCAAAAGGTATAGCATTCTTTGTTGATGCTGTACTGCTTAATGCTGTTCTGTGCTTACTTAATGAATTAAACTCAAACACACAAATCTCCATTAGACTAAAACCTTTAACATGATGTACTTGATTTTTGCTTGGTGATGGTGCTATGGATGATAGTCTTCCATTATGAAGAGGGGGTGGATTATATTATTTTTAATATTTGATAATGATGAAATAATTCATGTATGTGTTCATATCTTGAATACATATATTAGTATTGTTAAGATTTGTTTTACTCTTTTGATTTTTTTGAGGGCCTGCTACCCAGCTCCCATGTGAATCATAGAGTCTTACTATCATTTATGAATGTCCGGCCTTAGCTTGGCTTCTTCCTAGTCAACTTTTCTGAATGTAAATTATACCCTCTACCTTTTGCCTCTGGGCTTTTCCTGTTCTCTTCTGTCAATCTTACTCTTACTCCCTGGATTGCTGTGTATCTGTATGACTGGGTGACAGATCCCTGATGTTCTCCTCTCCTTGTTCTCTTGCTGCACCTCCTCTTCCTTGTTTCTCCTTCTATTTATACTCTCTGCCTGCCAGATCCACCTATCCTTGCTCCTGGCTCGCTATTGACTGTTCAGCTCATTATTAGGACAACCAGGTGTTTTAGACAGGCACAGTAACACAGCTTCAGAGAGTTAAACAAATGCAGCATGAAGAAAAGTCCCACACCTTAAAATAATATTCCCCTACAAATTTGTACATATAAAATGTGCATGTAAGAATAATTTGAAATTCACCATATATATGTATATATATATTTCTTAGAATACACTATCACAAGTTTACACAATAAACTATTCCACAGTTTCTAATATGCTATTTAGAAAATAATAACTTATTTTATTTAATAATTTTTGATATGTCAGAGGATTATCGTTCATTTGATATTAGATGACTAATGATCTCACAGGTTAATTTGTTATATTTAAGCATTTTGTATATGCTTTTGAAATTTTCATTGTTATTATAAGTAATAAATTATCACCTTAACTGAAAAGACACATGTCATAGGACAGTATATCCAATCAACATATAAACATGGCTACGTAGGATTACAAACATTGAATACGTTTTATCATTAATCAAATTTTATAAAGGTAATGCCATGCATAATTTCATTGTTGAGAAATTTTAAATTAATTATATAAATATAAAAATATATCATTAAATAATTTAATTGAAAGTCACAACAAATGTTTATAATAATTCTATAATTTGGGGTTTTCTTTTAGTGCTCAAGGTGGATGCATTTCTCATGTACTTCCTGAATTTTTGCTTGGACCAGAAGATTATAAGAAGTGGCTTGAAATTACAGTAGGAACATTTTATGTCTTTTTTATTTTTAAATTTAAATTAGAAACAATGTTGCTTCACATGTCAATCCCAGTTCCCTCTCCCTCTCCCTCCCCTACTCCCAAACCCTCCCACCAACCCCCTCTCCCTGCTCTCCCAATCCCCACTCCTTTCCCCATGGAGGGTGAGGCCCTCCATGAAGGGTATCCATAGTCTGTAATTTCATCCAGGGCAGGGCCTAGGACCTCCCACAAGAGTCCAGGCTGAGATAGCATCTCTCATTGTGGGATGGGCACCCACAGTGGGATAAACATTGATCTACTTCCCAAGGCCCCGTAGATTGCCTAGGCCTCCTCACTGACACCCACATTCAGGGGTTCTGGATCAGTCCCATGCTGGATTCCTAGCCATCAGTCTGGGGTTCAAGAGCTCCCCCTTGTTCAGGTCAGCTGTTCCTGTGGGTTAAACAAGCCCAGTCTTGATCCCTATGCTCATCAGTCCGCCGTCTCTGTCACTGGGTTCCTTGAGTTCACCTCAGTGATTAGCTGTGGGTGTCTGCCTCTGCTTCCATCAATCGTTGGTTAATATTCTGTTTCCCATACTCTCTACATTTTATACAGTTACTATATTTAACTAATTTGTGGTCTCTTTTAAATAACTAGTTTAAATTTTGTGACTTTTCTATCTGAAATGTCCTAATGTTCATGCCTCTTTTAACATTGATGTGCATGCTTGTGTATGTATATATATGTGCGTTTGTCTGTGTACATGTGTATTGCCCAAGGTGAGGGCATTAATTAACAGTTTCCTGAGATTCCTGTGCAAAAACGAGTACATGGCTTTCTTCTTTTTTTTCTTTAAGTGTTATGTGGGTGACATTCATGCATGTGTGTGCTCTTTACATGCATATAGATTCAAGTGTAAATGAAAACTCAACTGTGCTCATGCATATGGAGGCCAGAGGTTGATGTCACGTATTTTCTTTACACTTTGTCTTATAGTTTAATGAATGATCTCTCATTTGAACGTATAGATAACTGATCTAGTCTAGTTTACCACATTTTTTTTTATGCAATCCCACTTGTCTGCCTTCTGAGCACCAGGGCTGCGGACAGTCACTACTCCTAATCTGCATTTACACGGTTGCTGAGAATTCAGCCTTTGTACCTCTTGCTTATGCTGTACTCATTGAGGGTTTATAGAGAAAAAGTACATATGGTTATGTAATTTTATCCTCAAATGTAAATTTTAATAATGAGTATTTTCCAGAAGAAAAGTAATCTTTAATTTCATAGGAACATGCTACTTGTAGTATCAGGAGAGAACAAAGAGAAATTAAATAAATGCATAGTTTTCAGAAAAATATAGTGTACATCTCACTTATTTTTTATGTATATGATGTGGCAAAGGTAGTTAGGTACTTATACTGTGGTCTTACACTGAAAGGCCGTGGCTCTATCTGGACACAGAGTTCAGGGCAACTTTGGTTTTGTTCAGGGGAACTTCTACTACAGAATGCCATAATAGATATGTGAAGCGAATAAGTCTAGTAGAAGTGGTTGTCTTATTTATGGTTTCTATTGATAGGAAGAGATACCATGATCACAGAAACTCTTACAAAGGAAAACATTTAATTGTGTGGCTTACAGTTTCAGAGATTTAGTGCATTACCATCATGATGGCACATGGTGGCATGTAAGCAGATATTGTGCTGAAGAAGCATCTGAGAGTTTTACATCTCTTGGGCAACAGGAAGTGATCTGACTTTCTTAGCATGGTTTTAGCATATATGAGACCTCAAAGCCTGCCTCCATAGTGACACACTTCCTCCAACAAGACCACACCTCCTAACAGTGCCACTCCCTTTGGGGACCATTTTCTTTGAAACCACCACAGTAACTTTTATCCCTAGGAATTCTGTGTAGGTATTATTTATGCTATCACAGCAGTGAACATATTGATGACTGTATAAAATGGACATCTTAATGTTTTATGAAAAGGGAAAATTCTTATCATAAAATTAAAATTTGACACTAATGTTTGCTTTGCATTTTTGTCTCTACTTTATATTTCATTTCTTCAAGACATCCACTAAAAGCACAACTCTCTGTACACTTAAGGAAAAGTATTCTATTAATATAGATATGGATAATTTTGAAGCCTGGAGTACACGGGCATGGACAGATGTATTTCTTCAGATATACAAGGTAATAACTGCACTCTGGTTACCTGTTAGGTTTTTGTTTATTCACATGAGTAGTGCAAAGGTATAAGGAGAAGAAATGCTACTATGAATGATTTTAAAACACAATAGCTAAAACAAAGTATGTTTTTTCTTTTGTATGAAATTATTGGAAAATAAATGATCCAGAGCTGTGGTTGATGTATTATTTCCTTAGTACTAGGCTCTCAGCTATGGAATAACCTTTGTGATTGAACATTTTTCTAAAATAAGTTGAAAAGCTGTACTGTTAATAAAATAAAATAATATACTCAAAAGATTTGTCGCTATATTTAAGTGAAGCATCAAATATATGGGCATTACCCAGAATTACAGTTGCAGGACCTACTCCTTTTTTCCAGGTTTGTTTCTAATCCACTAAGTTTCATTTTTAATTTTTATTTGTTTTTCTTCATTATCTTGTTATATGTCTATTACAATGTAACTTCTTATAACGATTTATTTTCATATTATACTTTTGTAGGTTTATCTTATGTTTTTATTTATATTTTTGTTTTCACCTTTCAATCAAATTTCCCCTCCCCTATCAGCTCTCTGACCTCCCTACTGCCTTCACTCCTCCTCCACTGTTTCTCTTCAGATATAGGAGGACCTCTCCTGGATATCAGCAAGCCATGTATATTAAGTTTAAGTGAGTATAAGTACCCCCTCTCCTATTAAGGCTACATGAGGCAATTCAGTAGAAGGAATTATAGGCTGAAGAGTTTATGACTGGGTTAATGTATCAGTCCCTTCCCAGTCTTGCCTGGTAGTAGGAATTGGCTGATTTAGGTTCCATATCCCCAGTTGCTGGGAGTTTTAGCTAGGGTCACCCTTATAGATTCTTGGGAATTTCCATTGCTCTAGGGTTTTAACTCATCCCAGGGATGCCCCCAAATTGTAGTTGTCTCTCCCTGTGCTGTATACTTCTACCTCACCCACACCTGATCCCTTCTGTTCCCATCCCCATTCCCTCTTCCAAACCCCTACCCATTCTACTGCCAGTGCCCATTCTATTTCCTCTTCACAGTGAGATTCATGTGCCTGCACCTTGAGCCTTTCTTGTTATTTAGCTTCTCTGGGTTTGTGGGTTGTAGCTTGATTCTCCTTTACTGCTAATATTAACTTATGATTGAGTACTCAACATCTGTCTTTCTGGGTCTCAGTTACCCAGGATGGTCTTTTCTATTTCCATCTATTTGCCTGCAGATTTCATGATGTCATGGTTTTTAACAGCTGAGTAATACTCCATTGCATAAATGTACTATATGTTCTTTATTCATTCTTCAGTTGAGTGAATCTAGGTTGTTTCCAGATTCTGGCTATTAGGAACAAAACTGCTATGAACATAGTGATGCAAGTGTCCTTGTGTTATGGTGGAACGACCTTTGGGTATATGCCTTGGGGTTGTGTATCTGGGTCTTGGGATAGATTGATTTGCAGTCCTCTGAGAAACTGCCATACTGATTTCCAAAGTTGCTGTAAATGTTTGCACACCCACCAGCTATGGAGGAGTGTTCCTCTTTCTCCACATCCTTTTTTGTATGAGCTGTTACATGTGTTTTTAATTTTAGCTATTCTGACAGTATAAGATGGAGTCTCAGCGTCATACTGATGTTTATTTACCTGATGGGGCTAAGGATGTTAAACATTTCTTTAAGTGATTCTCAGGACATATGTGATTCTTCTGTTGAGAATTCTGTTTAGATGTGTACCCCATTTTTTAACTGGAATATTTAGGTATTTTATGATGTCTAGTTTCTTGAGTTCTTTATGTATTTTGGATATTAGACCTCTGATGTAGCGTTGGTAATGATCTTTTCCCATTGTGTAGGCTGTTGTTTTGTCCTTTAGAGAGTGTCCTGTGGCTTACAATAGCTTTTCATTTTCATGAGATCCTATTTGCTAATTGTTTATATTAGGATCTTAGTGCCTGCATGATTGGTGTTGTGTTCAGGAAGTTGTCTCCTGTGCTAATGCCTTTGAGACTATTGTACACTTTCTCTTCTATCAGGTTTAGTGTATCTGGAATTATGTTGAGGTCTTTGATCTACTTAGACTTGAGTTTTGTTCAAGGCCATAGATAATTGATCTGTTTGAATTCTTCTACATGCTGACATCTAGTTAAACCAGCACCATTTGTGGAAAATACTTTCTTTTATCCATTATATAACTTGGGCTTCTTTGTCAAAAATCAAGTGTCCATAGGTATGTGGATTTACTTCTCGGTCTTCAATTCAATTCCATTGTTCACCCTATCTATTTTTATGCAATACCATGCTGTTTTTATTACTATAGCCCTCTAGTAAATCATGAAATCTAGGTTGGCGTGTCAGGTTGTTTTGGTTATCCAGGTTTCTTTGTTTTTCCATATGCAGTTCAGTATTTTTCTTTCAAGTACTGTCAAGAATTGTGATGGAATTTTTATGTGGATTGTATTGAATCTGTAGGTAGGTTTTGGTGAGATGTCCATTTTTTACTATATTAATCCTGTTCCATGAGCGTGGGAGATCTTTCCATCTTCTGATATCCTCTCCAATGTCTTTCTTCAAAGATTTCAAGTTCTTGTCATATAGGTTTTTAACTTGCTTGGTTGGAGTTACCCCAAGACATTTTATATTGTTTTTGGTTATTCTGAATGGTGTTTTTTCCACTGATTTTTCTTTTAGGCCATTTATTGTAGATATATAGGAAGATTACTGTTTTTTTTAAAGATAATTTTCTATCCTGCTACTTTGCAGAAGGTGTTTATCAGAAGTAGGAGTTCCCTGTTAGAACTTGAAGGGTTGCTTATGCATACTCTCAGATCATGTAACTTGAAGTTCTAGGTAGAGCAATAAGACAACTAAAGGAGATTAAGGGGAATCAAATTGTAAAGGAAGAAGTAAGTCTTTCAATATTTGCAGTTGATATGATAGTTTACATAAGTGACAACTTCTTTTTATAGTTTTATTTTTATTATTCATCATTTTTATCTATTTTACATACTAACCACAGTTTCCCCTATATTTTCACCTCTTGTTGCCAGTGTGCTGTGTTATAACTGCACATAGCAATATACTTTAAGCCCTTTGAGAATTTTTTCTTCTAATAGACTTAAAGACTAGAAAATTAATCTCACTGCCTAGTTACTGCTAATTCCGGCTTTATTTTAGCCTCAAAGAATAACATGTTTGTATATTATCTTCATGTCACTAGTTGCATAGTACCTCCTTTGCTTCACCATATAAAATCAGAAATGTGAGTAGGAGAACTGCAGTAGACTCCATATTGGAACTTATTACCTTTATTAGCTGGATAGTAGTGTCAGATCACAGTTACTACTTCCAGAGATCCACTCACTCCACCATTAATTCAGAAGTGGTCAGAAAGATGGACCCTAGTCTCCATGGTACAATTAATTGCAGGAGCACCTTTATGTCTGAATCCACATTGGTTTTCTACCCATGCATATATCAAGAGTACACTCATTTCTCAGTGCTAAAATTTGACACTCAACTCAGTTCTTGGTCCAATACACAATCTTCATCTGAAGTCTTAATTAACCCTGAGTTCTTGCAGATTTATTTTAGGATCAGATTTGCCTACAGATTTACTTTTGTATTAGTTTTAAACCATGAGCAATCTCTGTATCTAAAAGAAAGGTGTTATACTCTGGATATTGATTCTCTCTGGGCAGCTAGGATTATTCAAGTTAAGTTTTCAGCAGTGCTCCATGTCAATTATCTTAAAATATATAGGTATTTATTGAAAATTTAATTGTCAAAGTTGTCTTCTCATTTACATGCAAAGAAAATCTAATAAAACCAAATATTAATACTATTAATGAGAGCCAATAAGCGAAATATAACACCCACATTCATATAGAACTAGAAATACATTTGGCAATGGCTTGATAACTCTGTGTGTGTGTGTGTACATATGTATGTATATACACATTCATTATTTGATAATTTTCTGTGTTGTTATTTGTAAGTCTTTAATATGCTGTAGTGTTATATAACCTAAGACTCTGTTCTATCAAAGGCCAATTTATTGGTGTTTATGCATGAAATAGACCTTTAACAAAAGTGGTTATGTAAATAATGCTTGTGTGTTGGAAAGTCCTGAGTATAGGTTGCTGAAAGTATTTGACCTAATTTGAAGTATTACCTCACATATTTAACAAGACATTCTGTCGTCTGGACTTTGCATTTCATTCCGTCAATTCATACTTTTGTGACTTTCATTTTAAACAACAAATACTATCATTTTACTCCAAATCTCCAAATGTGTTTTATTTGCATGAAGTGAAGTCTTATTTTTCCTATATGCTTTTATTACTCCTTTAATATATATATATATGTATATATATATGAATATTTAAAGAACCATCATTTGGTGGCAGAGTGATAATTGACAGATATTTCAGCAGTGTTTGTTTTTAAGCACTTCACATGTAGCAATAAATTGTGTATATTTTGACTCTTTTTGTATCAGATTATACTTCTGTGATCCATGTGAGCCTGTCATTAAATCTGTGTTCCCAGTAATGGTTCGCTTGCAAATCTTATTTGCTTTCCAAAGTAGCTGTGACAATGGATTCTAAGCTTGCTCAGATCATTATTCCCAAACATTTATCTCATTAGGTGTAGTCAGGTAATTCATCATTTGTTATTCCTCAGAAAAGGCTAGGAATCCATATTCAAGACTTTCACTTGCATTTTACAGTATATAGGATTTGAAACTAAAGAGTTATTGATCCAATATTTGCTATATTTCTATCATAAAAATCCCCCAAAATGGTGAAATAATGCCTTTCCTGTTTATAGATTGATATTGATGTTCTCACCACATAATTCAGATAAAATTCTTACGTTCTGCATTAGATTGGTTTCTTGAAAAATGTTGGTAATTTCCATTTTTGAAAGGAAAGAACAGTTTGAGAATTTTCATATTTTAAATTGAATCTATTTGAGACTTAACATAAATATGATACATGAAGATATGAGTACCTTATTTCTGTAGTTACTCATTTGAATATGAATATACCTTAGGTTGGATTATCCCAAAAGCAGGCTCTGAAACAAATGTCAAACACTTTGTTTCAGAAGTTATCTTTGTTGGCTATGTGTTCTTCTGTTAGGAAAATGTTCAGTTTAGTGACAGTTTGCCTTTGCCCACAATAAACTTTCTAAATGGTGAAGTGAATGCTAGGTAAATGTGAACAGGGTGCCATATCTCTAGAACAGATGTCACTTAGGTCGTGTTCTTCACATTCAACATGTTAGAGAACTACCCATGAAGTCTTCGCATTGTGCTTATGAACTGAGGTAAGAATGTGTATATAATGTAAGCAGTTGAACTAACTCATTTATTTAGAATGTTTTACAATATGTGTTGTTCAATAATTGAATAACTGTTTCACTAAATACATAATGAAATGTGTATTTCATTGTTGCTGTCATCTAGACTCTATGTCAATCACTAGTGATGTGTAAATTTTAGTACCTCTTTGATATATTTCTGTACTTATCAGATAGAGTGCATTTTTCCTGAATGAGTCTGTGGCATTCTATACCAAACTTAACATCGTGAGATCAAAATGCATTGAATTGTTATTTTGTACTCTTTACTTCCTTAATTACACATATGCCTGGCATAGTGGCACATACCTGTATTCCCAGTTTAGAAGGGAGACACAGGGAAATCATGAGTGCAAGGCCAGTCTTGGCTGCATAGCCAGTTAGAGACCAGCTTGAGATACATGAGATCCTGTCCCAAACAAGACAATGAAAATGCCAAGTAAGTTTTATTTCAAAGTGACTTTGAGTGGTATAATGGCTAATATTGACTGTGAAATTGACAGGACCTAGAAGAAAATCTCTGAATATATATGCGAGAGAATGACTAGATTGGGCAAATTAACCTGAGACACTCCCTGTAAATATAGACAATAGCATTACACAGGCTAGGGTGCAGAATGACATAAAAAGAAACCAGTTTGAGTTCCAGCATTCATCTGTATTTGCTTCCTGACTCTGGTTGCAATGTGACCAGTTATCTCACATTCCAGAGCACAATGACTCCCTTTCCCTTAAACTGTGAACCTATGTAAAGCTCTTCTTCCTTAAACCACTCTTTTCAGATACTTTGTTATAGCAACAAAAGTAACTAATACAGATGGGTAAGCTAAAAAAAAACTAATACAGACGAGTAATTTTTTCATATTTAATATTTTAAGCTTTGTGTACTGTAAGAAAAAGAAAAGCATGCCACATTCATTTGATTTAATGAATTGGTATTCTAACAGATCTGTTTTCAAGTATATTATTTTTTTAATTATGTAAGAAATGTCTTGTTGCAAGTTGCGCAGTAAGGAACTCCATAGTATAAATGATAATTAAGCAAAAATTTAAGACTGAAAATGAGTACTAGTGCCACATCTCTCTTCTATTCTCTTATTCCTGAGAGGGTGCATTAACCAGAAAACTCTAGTATCTTCCATTGCCTATATCCTTGGGATAATTAACTTTTCAAATGTGAATTTATTGTCTGTTTCTAGTAAATGTTTCTTTTAAAATTCCAGGTTATGGTTCTCTCTCGGGTCACACCACGTGGCTACAATTCTGCTCCATCCCTACGTGGGGAGAGTACATCCAAAATCAACCCCAGTTTTGTATCCAGCAACATATATTCTAATTCTGAAAGGATTCTACTTAGTTGGTTGAATACAAATTATGAGAGTCATCGACACGTGATATGGCAAAACAATAAAACCGGTATGACTTTTTCTTTCAACAGTTATATTTTAGAGAAATGGTGAAATGTATGTATAGATGTTGGATATTAAAGATTCCCGTAACATTGTTGCTAGCATTTTCAACTGCGTAAAATATTAAACTTAGTTTGCATTTTATATATAAAGGTAAAGTTGAATATCACTCTGTGAAAATAATGTTTCATGAATTCTTTATTGAGGAGATCATGATAAACTCATACACAAACATATTTAACTGATAAACAGCTACATTGAATCCTCTACCAAGAGCATGAAATTCCTTTTGTAAAGATCTAGTTGCTAATATAGCAATATGTATTTTTCCTTTTTTTCTCACCTTAACCTGTATTAAATGGAAATGTGTGTTTTGTTTTAAATCACCTCCCTTCCTCAGAGAATACGCAAATATGTTGTGCTCATAGTAGACTTTGCTAATACTCTACTTGTGAACTTCTAACAAAGACCAAGAACTAAGCAGAAGAATGTGGATTTTGGTTTTAAGGAAGATTTTAAATTGTATTTTCTCATAAATTGAAGACATTATTACCTAATATTCTCTTCAAAACAGCGTAAAGTTCAAGCTGCTTCTCTCCTGTTCTTTATTCATATTTGAATAGAACTTTTCTAACATAGCATGTATCTTTTTATCTGGCTTCCCCCTGTAGAATGTGGGATTCTTTAAAGGCACCGTCTCTTTTTAAAATTAATCCTTTTATGTTTGAAATTGTACTACTTACATCATATCTTCTTTCCTTTCGTTTCTCCAAGTGCTTCCGTAGGCCTCTAGCTGCTTTCTTTGAAATTCATGGCCACTCTTTTGTTTTTCATTATTTTTTATTACATACACACACAGACATACATGTGTATGCATGTCTCTGTGTGTATTATGTATTTATAAATGTGTAAGTGTAACCTGCTTAGTCTATGTAACATTATTGATGTGTATATTTTCATGGTTGACTATTCTGTATAGGATAACCAATAGGTGTGCTCTTCCCTTTGGAAGATCATTTCTTCCATTAACAATATTCCTTGGTTGATTGTAGTTCATCATCTGCATAGTGTTAAGACATCCTGGGCCTCGCCTGTTCACTTTGGCATATCTGTTGTCCTTGTTCAACTCATATTTTGGTAGTCATGTTGGTGAGATTTTCTATGTGTAGCTTCTGATGTTACAAGGAGAACCCAGTCTTACTGAAAATCAGTGTTGCTCTGGCACTTGCAATATTTCTGTTCCCTCTTCTGCAATATCGCCTGAGCATTAGGTTCAGGAGTTGTTTTATGTATCTCTGGATGTTACAACATTGCATTTTCAGGTTGTGGTTTTCTGTAATGACCCTAGTATGTTGTAAACAAATGTTTCCTTGTTGAAGTGTGAGGACTACATTTTTCTGTGTTAAGCAAAATATTTATATTTTAGTTAAGGATTTTATGCTGATTCAATAAATTAGTGGTTGTCAGTTTTCCTTCAAGGTCCATGACTTCTCTATACCTGGGCAGTTGTCTAGGTTTCCTGTACTAGTCATGGTTTCCCTGCTTTTGAGTGGGTCTTAAGTCCTATTAGAAATCTATTGTTTACTGTATAAGTGTGTGACCTCCTATTGCACTTAGTGTTATCTTAACATACTGGTGGTTCAAAGGTATTATCACTGTATTCTCCATTCGGAAACTTGTCTGGTACCTTCTTGTACCACCAAACTTTGTTCTCAGGAAGGGAGGCAGATCAATTCCAGCTCAGGGGTCTCTGGACCCTGTTTCTGGAGTTTATGATGTCTTCAGCAACTGGGGTTTAACTTCCACCTTTGTGAAACATCAATTGCAATAGCAATTGCCTTTATGTTGGGGATTCTCTTGGACAGTCCTGAACAGCAATTCAAGAAAGGGCTTCTACTGCCTGGTTTTGTATTTGTTAAGGTGGTCTTTGAAAGCACTTCAGGGAGTTTTGTCAGCCCAGATAAGAAAAAAATACATTTAAACTATGTATGTACATTTATGCACAGACTTATATGTATTTTAGGCTTTTAAGATGCATAGTTGATAAAAGTGCGTAAGACTTATTCATGCATCCTTATTTTTATTTTACCCTCTTTTCTCCATCTCCTCTATATACCAACCCCTCCTAATTTACATATCCTCCATTTCCCCATTTCTCCAGTCAGATCACTTGTACCCTGCTTTTTCTTTCTGTATTAACTCCCCTAATCTACTGTGCCTATACCAGCAACTGTCACTTTCATCTCTCCTGGTTTCTGTATTTATTCCAAAATATACACTCATATCTGAAGATTTGTAAGAAGGAGCCTATAATAAAATAGAAAATGGATATTTTGCGTCTTTTCTAGTTCTACCCATTCACCTTCAAAGTTCATGATTTCATTTTTATTTACAGGTGACGAGTATTCCATAGAGTATATGCACCATATATTCATTAACCATTCATCAGTTGATTCAACATTTAGGTTGTCTCCATTTTATAGGCATTGTGAATAGAGAAACAGTGAACACAACTGAGAAAGTATCTGTTGAGTGCCAACTCGTTTGTTCAGGTGCCTATGTGTGGTTATACCTAGGTCATATGGTAGATTACTTTTATGTTTCTGAGTGTTTTCCATACTGATTTCTATAATTACCTCCGCAGTTTTTAGTCTCATCATAGAGAATGATAATTCCCTTTTTGCAGCACCCTTTCCAGCTTTTGGTATCACTTGATTTTTTTTTTGATCTTTGCCATTACGATTGATAGAAAATAAAACCAAATATTTATTTTGATTTTCACCTTCTAATTGCAAGGGATAATGAACATTTGAGATATTTATTAGCTAGTTTTTCTCTTCTTTTGAGTACTCTGTTCAGGTCCTGGCCCAGTTTTTTAATAGGTCATTTGCTGTGTTTTTTATTCCCTTTTGAGTTTTTATGTATTCTGCTCTATCAGATGTATAGCTGCTAAAGGTTCTCTCCTATTCTGTGGGCTTCCTCTTCACCCTGTTGATTGATTATTTCTTTAGCAGTGTGGAAGTGTTTCAGTTTTTTGAAGTCCCACTTGTCAATTGTAGATCTATTCTAAAAGATTTCAACAAAAACTGATCACAGTAGGGGACCAAGTGTTTGCATGATCATGTGGAGACCCTTTCTTGTTTGAAGCACAGCCATTAGGGGTGTTTAATCCTTAAGTACAGTTTCCGGAAGACAAGTCTTATGTAATAAGCTAAAATTTATACAAGATAAATATGCAGTGTCAGACAATTAAAGATTTACTTTGATAAATGAAAACTCATAAGTAGATTCACTTCACTTAATCTACATAGAAAATGTAATTAAGAAAATGGGTACTATCAAGACAAAACATTGGACCTAAAGCATTTTTCAGTAAATTGATTATTGGGCCATGATGATTGTACTGAGCATTCTATGCTTTTTTCAGCTGTATGAGAAACAAACACTTTTAGATGTTTATGGATTTTCCAAATGTTCTTGAGAGTTTATTAATTTTTAAATTACATTATCTACTGTGGTGTTTTGCTTACCCTTCTGTGGCATTTGAGTTGATTTGCTAAATTTATCTCACTGGAATTTGTAATGGCAGAACAAGTAAATATTGAGTGAAGCAACTCATTGATAAAAAAGGTATATTGAAGCTGTAAAAATTGGTGAGAGGGGCAGCCATTCAGAGCATTGAGGTTAAAACCACTATTTTAAGACTTCTGCCTTTTTCATGTGAAAAATCATGAATAATAGCTGTGATCTTGTAACTTTGAGAAGTAATTATTGTTTATTCTAGTTGCTTTAAAGTTCAAGTTTGAAGTGTTAGAGGTTGGGCACTTTAGCCAGCACAGCTGGGTTTAGCACTGAATGGAGACTATGTGGGTTAATTCTGTGCAAGACCATCAATCACAGTTTGAGGAAATTTTCTTTCATTAGTACAAAGGGTAGCTAAGAGTATCTGGAAAGAGAGAGAACAAGAATGTGTGAGCTGGGCGGTGGTGGCGCACACCTTTAATCCCAGCACTCAGGAAGCAGAGGCAGGTGGATCTTTGTGAGTTCGAGACCAGGCTGGACCAACAGCCTCCAAAACAATACAAAGAAACCCTGTCTTGTAAAAACCAAAAAAAAAAAAATATGTGACAGTGTCCAAGGGAAAGGCATAGGAGATAGGAGGGGAGACAGATGAAAGGAGGAAGTGAAGAGGAACAGATCCAGTATGTATTTGAAATTGTGGCATTCTCCCATGCATTTCTTGTATATATTTTGAAGATATGAAAGCATGTTGTATGTAATAAATGGTGGATATTTCTCACATGTAAACATAACATTTCTGTTTGCAATTGGTCTTTTTATTGTGTGCACTTTACACTCTTCTATCATTAACACTTCCACACACTACTCTTTTCAAAGATCAATCATTTTGCTCATACCTTAGTGACAATATTTTCTTTAGTAGATTATGAATGTGATAAAGTATCTTCTGCATCCTTTATTTTGATCCTTTACTTCAATTTCTTTCTTGCCTTACTAATTGTGCTTTTATCATATTTTAATCATCCAGTGAGTCTAAGAACAGAAACTAACCAATTTCTAGTGCAGAGTGGAGTATCTGATAGCATAAGAACTTGCCTTTCGTCATTCTCTTTTTTAAAAAATTAGAATTAGAATATTTAAATATGATATTGAAATAATCTCTGCACTACAATTTAGCATATACTTATAAACATTTTCCCCAGGTTATGATTATTGTTATTATAAATGAAAAATTGTTTTTATAAAGAACTACCATTACTTTCAGTAGCTGACATTTATTCTTTATTTTGTATTACTTAAAATCACTAGTGAGTTCTGAATGAATTTAAAATAAACATTTTACAAATAGCTATTTAAACAATGATCTCTATGTATTTAGAAATTTTTTTAAATGTTTTAGTAATTTTTATTTGTAGATATCATGTTCTTTTGGCAAAATGTAATTTCATTAAGCCATAAATGGTAACTATTTATTTAGGAACTTTACAGTTCTTCAGAAATTCCAGACTCTTTCTTTAGTGTCCATTATTAACTGCTTAATTATTGGTTTTGCTACTCTGAAATACACCTACTTTGCTGTTTCATTTTAACTGTGCATCAATCCCTACTAGTCATGATTAAGATAAAGCTCTGCACTAAATTTAGAGAGATGCCAAGATGCAAAACAATTGTGAGTCCAGAAAGCTAGGCTCTCTCCAGTATGTCAACAGCTTGGTTCATTATGATATGGGGAATAAAGGAAAGAGTCACGCATTCTAGAAAAAGGAAAATCTAACTACTCACCAACAGCAGATCTCTCTCTCTCTCTCTCTCTCTCTCTCTCTCTCTCTCTCTCTCTCTCTCTCTCTCTCTTCTATCTCTCTCTCTCTCTTTATGACTTAATCAGTTTCATTGTTCTCTGAACAAATATCACATGGAACCCTTGACTAGATAATTGAAAAAAAATTCAGTGAAGCAAAATTTGTAGGGTTTGAGATCCACTGGAACAATGATAATGGTACTTTAATAATTGAGTAACTTGGTGCTGGAGAGATGGCTCCATGGTTAGGAGCATTGGCTGCTCTTCCAGAGGTCCCAGGATCAATTCCCAGCACCCACATGGCAGCTCAAGACTGTCTTTCACTCTAGTTCCAAGGGTTTGATACCCTCAAACAGACATATATGCAGTCAAAACTCCAATGCACATAAAACAAAAAATAAATTAAATTAAAATAATTGAATAAGGCTTATCTAGAGAGCAGGCTAAAGGAGGTCAAATTCCATAACTGGTAAAGAAATCTTAGTCACTGCCTATATTATCAGGAAATGAAAATTGTGGTTTACAGAATTAAATTAGTAAAGGGTATTTATTGTCTTAACCACTGCACTATTTCCCCATCTACAAATCATGTAGTTTTTGGTTTTACATTAGTTAAATCCATAGTAAAATGTTATATAGATTTGCTTAAGTAAGCAAGAATGAAGAATACTGGACTTCTTTAACCATTGATAAAAACTAATATTGGTTCATAGTGCAGTACAGTCTAATAATATAAATATCTAGAAAAGATGATATTGAATGTTATTAATAGAAAGCAATGATAAATATTTGGAGTATTATATTTGCTAGATATCCTTGATTATCATGCATTGTATTCATGATTGAAATACCATGCCACACCTCATATATTTGTACAATTATTCTGTTAATTGAAATAATATATTCTGAGTTTAGGAAATAGTAGTGATTTTACAAATGCAAATATATTTATTTATAATTAATTGAATAATAAAACGTTTGAATTTTTGTTACATGAGGTATTCTTACCAAAACTGCTATACAGTTGAAATTGTCGAAAATATAATTAATTTACCAATTCTAACACTATTAAAATAAAAACATTAATATTTTCATAGCATTAAATGATTCAGTTTTGATTTTCACAACCATATCTCATTTCCATACTATTTTCTACCAACATTTTATTTTAATTTTAAGATATCTATTTGAAGTAAAATATTTTTAAGCTGTATGAAAATAGAAACTCAAAAGTCCATTTTAATTTGAACATGTCTAGCAGCACTTGAACTTTTTTTTTATTTCTCACAGTTGAAGGCTAGATAAAGCTGTTAATTCCCTTAATATTTTGTTAAGCTACTTTCCTGTTACAGTAAATACTGGCTAGTGCCTAATATCTCTGTTTGCAGTAACCTTCTTTCTGATGCCAGTGTTACTCATTCTACATAGCTGCCATTTTGTTTAAAACCTTAGAATACTGAGGAAAGAATTGCCTATATCAAAAAAGCTATCTTATAAGCAGAGGGAATGTTTGATATACCTAAGCTTGATGTAAACCATAGTGACATTTTGTCAGCAACCTTAGACATAAAAGACAATGCACAGTCATGAAATGAGCGAGGAGAAAGGAGTTTTATTAAAAAGTCTTGTTTTTACATCTTGTAAACATTGTCCTCGGAAGCTTTGCATCCTCTTCTTATTTAAAGCTATACTTGAGCAGTACCACTCCATGCCTCCTGGTATTAGACAAGTTAATTTTGTACCAAAGCAATTCCAAAATTGTGATGGACTGAAACAAACAAACCATCAGTACCAGTGTTTTCTGCAGGTGCAAATAGAGAGCCAGGGATAAAATGAACTTCTATACTTAAAAGAGAAAAACCGAGACAAATGCTCTCTAATTGCATGGTAAATCCCAGAAAGAAGATACTTTCAGAAAGAAATGATTTAATAATCAGGGTATATTCTTTTCTAGTGAAACTTGAAACTATATACCAGCATGAAGGGCCCAGAGACCCCAGTTGAATTTTTGGTGAGGAAAAATACAGAAATATGTTTAAACATCGGCAATAGGAAGGATGTCCATAGAGCAAGATCCCATCTGTGAGTGGATCCATTTTGCAAGAACCCAAATACATCTGAAGGGAGATAGCTTGTACTGAGAATGCTTGCGAAATAATGCCGTGTTCAAATGCAACCACCTAGGGATATTTTTCCTCAGGATCACCATTAAAGGTTTACAGAGTCCTCTAGCATTGTGTCCCAATAGGGGAGCAGGCTACACCTCCATTTAGCACAAAAATAAGCATTATTCTCTTTGTTGTACTGTCTTGATAGGCGTGAATAATCTAAGGTTGAAAGTGTCATTTAGTCTTGCTCCATGTTTTCAGAGAGCTACTGACACTGGACAATATGTGGCAGGGTTAGTGTTTGCAAGGAGGCCTTGAGAAGTCATGGTATGGGACTCTGCAGATGAAGCCTGGGTTACAACAGACACTTGATGATGATGCTAGGAAAATAGCGTGTCTGCCAAGGAGAGGCACAGAAGCAATATGTACTGCGGGTGGTAGAAATGGAGTGGTGAGACCCCCTAAAGCATGTTGTATCCCAGTACATTCTTATCACGAGCTCCAGATATCCTTATCACAGAGCTGCAGGGGATCATGTTGCATGGCTGGATGTCAGTCTTGATGTATTCTAATAATTTCTTGTAATGCTTCATTTCTTTCCTTTTAGAAAGGGAAAGTTTATTCTATTCCATTGTGCATTAAGAGTGTCCTTTTTGTGTTTATAGAAGATCATATTTAAGAAATTGTGTGAGTCACAGAAGAAACTTGACCTTTGCACTTTGTGTGTAAAGTTTTGGGTCTTTTCGAGTGCTAGAGATGATGTTTATTACTGATTGACAGATTGATGGAGCCTGAAGTCACCTAGAAAAATGGCTGTGGGCATTCCTTTGAAGAATTATCTAGATTAGGTTAATTAAGGCAATAAAAACACATCTGGTATTAGCATTCAATGGGCTAGTATAAAAGAAGAAAGCATGCTGAGAACTAGTAATCACTGTTCTCTGCTTTCTGACTGGATGCAGCATGACAAGCCACCACCTGTTTCTGCTATCATTTCCTTCTTGCCATGATGTTCTGTGTCTCCTGGAACTATAACATGTCTTTTGAGCCTCAGTACTTATGCATGTTGTTCATTGCTGGTCAAACATTTGAACAAAATAATCAAAAATAGTATGTATTAAAGGGTTTGTTGCCATAAGTCTGAAATTCCAGCAATTCAAAATAGAAGCAGCGGAATCAAACTTCAAGTTCATCTTCCTGTATATAGATACCAGGGCTCTCCGAGGCTCCTTCAAAAAACAAAGGAAGGAAGGAAAGAAATGTGAGTAATGCTAAAATATACGAGATTTCTGTTGTATTAGTACATAAAATGATGTTTTTCAGAGTGACTTATGTGGTGAACACCTTTAATACCAGCACTCACGAGGCAGATATATCTCTGTGAGTTCAAGACCAGCCTAGTCTATACAGCAAGTTCCAATACAAGCTCTAAAGCTACACAGAAAAATCCTGTCTCGACAAACAAAACAACAAAAAAAAACAGGAAAAGAAATAAGAGACTTCTTATAGTTGGTTTTAAGCTATGTGGATATATTTCATAGTGCTTTAATTTCATTTCTGTTGTTCTGACAAAATAATTTATCTAAAAACAAACTAGAGGTAAAGAAAGTTCATTTCAGCTTATAATACATACTGGCCTACAGTCCATCATTATGGGGAAGTCAATGCAGGAATTCAAATAGATATATTACATCTACATTGAAGTGTTAGAGAAGTGAGTGCAAATATAATATACTTACATTTTCTATTTACACATCCCAGCACTCTGTCAAGAGAATGGTGTCAGCAGTAGTTGGCCACATTTCCCTACTTCATATAATGTAATTAAGATGTTTCTGGGTACAAAAGCATTCCCATAGCCAATCCACTGGACACTCGGTTATTGAGACTATTCCCAGGTGACTCTAACTGTGTCATGTTGCCTAATGTGCCCATCATACCTAGTATTTATGAACATCATATTGTTTTAAAAAGCCATTGTTTTCTTTGTTCTTCAAGATGCTATAAGAAATATCACAATAGAGCTAAAGTGTTATTTTTTCCTTTTTTTCAAATAGATGGTGTTCCCTCTGAGAGATGGATAGTGAATTTTGATGTAGACCTTTTAGATGGCCTTGTTTTTGCTACACAGCTGGCAGCATATTGCCCATTTTTGGTAAGTGTTATTTCATGGTCCAGTGGTAATGTCCTGGTTGAGGAAAGTTTGTGATTAAGAGTTGAAGTTTATTTGCTGTAAACTGTTTTCTTAAATGTCTTCATTTTGACTGAAACGCATGAATGGTACTACCTAGTATTGCCTCTTTTGTTTAGTCTAAAATGCTGATTGCAATATTCTGTTTCAGATTCTAAGATCCAAACGAGCCTTTGTTGCACTACAAAGGAAACTTACATCTATCTGTTTTAGTCCATTTAATAAAGCTCTGTTTGTTTTAAATCCTAGATTGAGACTCATTTTACAAGTATGTACACACGACCAAAACGTTCAGAACAGTATTTGCACAATAGCTTGATCATTATAAATAGTCTTCGTGAAATTGGCTTTGATTTGAACATACAGGTGAGTACATTTGTATTACAGAAGCTTTTCATAATTAGTGAATTTCATTGATTCATTTATTCATTTGTAATATCCCTTTGTTAAAGTTGTTTCCACACCAAAGTCATTTTATGCCAGATCTGATATTTTTTTCATTTTTTATTGGGAAAGATATGAGGAGAAACTTTAAGTGTTGACTCAGGGGATTACTTTCCAATGGGTGAATTTTTAGTAAAAATCATAATATAAGAGGGTTACCTTGTAAAGGTAACTGTAAGTTTTTATAGTTCCCACTAATTGTTAAACCTCTTGCATGAATAACTCCAGATAGACCATTTCAAAGGTACAAAGATTATTAAAACATACTCATATTTTCAAAGGTGGTACCAATCCCTAATGGCAAAAGTATATACCAAGAAGCTTACAGATGATAGATACCACAGGAAACATAGAAATTAGAATTATATTTCAAGAGAGAAAATATTCTTATAAGGAACCTAGGAAAATTTATATTGAATTCTTGGTGTATAAGCTAGTTCTTGAAAATATGGTTGGGATTCACAAGAAATATCTGCCCTTGGAGAATTTGGTTGATTGTCCACTGTAATTTGTTTCTCTTTAAAATTTAATCAGGTATCCTTAGTCAAATTGCTTATTTCAGTATAGACAAAAATACATTGAATAATTAAATATGGTCTAGATAAAAATATGGAGTAATTTTCAATAATTTGATCAAACAGTATATTTTTTATAACCAGCTAGTTTCAGTGAATAACTTTCTATAAGCACTGATTTATGCAGTTAAAGGCAGGTTTTCAAAATGTCACTGTCAAGTTAAAAAAAGACAGTAATGAATCTTGGTGCTTGTGATTTGAATGGTAATGGCCCACTTAGACTCGTGTGTTTGAATGCCTGGTCCATAGGTAGTAAGACCTTGTTGGAGTAGGCCTTGCCTTGTTGGAGGAAGGGTATCACTGTGGGGGTGGGCTTTGAGGTCTCAGATGACTAAGCTGCACCCAGTGTGATAAACAGTTCATTTCTTGCTGCCTGAGGATCAAGATGTAGAACTTTCAACTCCTTCTCCAACAGCATGTCTACCTGCATGCCACCCACCATGAAGATAATGAACTAAACCTCTGAACTATAAGCTAGCCCCAATTAACATTTTTCTAAGAATTTCTGTGGCTGGAGAGATGACTCAGCACTTAAGGGCACCAGTTGCTCTTCCAGAGGTCCTGAGTTTAATTATCAGCAACCACATGGTCACTCACAACCATCTGTAATAAGATCTGGTGCCCTCTTGTGGCCCCAGTCATACATGCAGACAGAACATTGTATACATAATGAATAAACAAATCTTTGTTGAGCATTGTGGTGCAATCCTTTAATCCTAGCACCAGGGAGACAGAAGCAGGTTGACCTCTGTGAGTTGGAGGCCAACTTTGTCTACAAAGTGACAACTAAGTCTGTTACAAAGAGAAACCCTGTTTTGAAAAACAAAACAAAAAAAAAGAATTGCTGTGGTCAGTGTGTCTCTTTATAGCAATAGAAACCCTAACTAAGACTCTGGTACCAGGAACTTGGGTATTGTGTGATAGGCTGGATCATGCTTTTGTTTGGAGGTATGTGGACTTTGGGACTATAGACTAGAAAAGCAGTTGAACACTTTAAGTTGAACTTAATGGACTATCGTAATAGACTATGGAAGACAGTAATTCTGAAGGTGATTTGAACTGTGGGGGGGATGGCCCAAGAGTATTTAATGGAGAAGACTGTTAGTATGTGGTGTATAGACCGGTCTTGTGATATTTTCCTGGACTATGTGTCTGTTTTTTGCCACTGTGCAAAAATTTTGCCTGAGACTGAAGTAAAGAAACTCGTGTTAATTCCATTGTCAGAGGGAATTTCAAAACAGCCTTGCATTGGCTGTTTCCTTTAGTTATTAGTGTAAACTCTAAAGAAGATTTATAATAAAAAGGTGCAAGCTGAGAAAGGAAACGTACAAAATGTATACAATGAGGAGAAAAGGGGCACCAGGAAGCAGAATGAAGTTAAGTCCTATCTTCAATGAGATAAATAGATCAAGAAATGGAAAAAAGGGTGTGGTGACCTCAGAACAATGCTCAAAATAGCTAAGCTTCCAAGTTGTGAAAGGGAAGCAAAGTTCCAGGCATGGTAGTAACATGCAAGCAGCCAAAACTATAATACAAGGACTTTTGTGTTTCCACTGATATCGCTGTTATTCTCATCTTGTTTATGTAGCCATTTACAACAGGCTTCTGTCTTCCCTAATATTTTTGCCCTCTCTTCTGGTATGTCCCCTGAAGAAGCTGTAATGTAGATATATCTGTTGGGACTGAGCTCATCACAACTCCATTTTTTAAAATAATACCTTATTACATATGTTTTCTAATTCACTTAAACCTTTTCAGTTACTAAATTGCTAGATTTCCATTGTATTACATGTGTTAAAGAATAACTTTTGAATAATTTTCATATTTCTACATATATGTTTTAATGTTGTTAAAAGTAAAATAGGTTTTGAAAAACATTTGTTTACACCAGACCTGAGTGTGTCATGGAGCTCTGCTAATATTCCTCTTTTATCTAACAAACACATCACTGCTCTTACAGGTTGGCTCCATTAAGGTCAAATCACAGTCTCCCCTAATATGCATGCCAGGCTGAAACCTTTTTAAAATTTATCTTTCTCTAGAGTTAAAAAATCAGTGTAAGAATCAAATTCTCCTATTTTTTTACCTCATGTTATCAACTTCAATTTTTTTATTCATTCTCTATTACTAGCACTATTGAACCTATAAAAAGATATCCAACAAAAAACGATGTGAAACTTTGGGATCCTAGTGTGTTTTCAGGTTTTCTCACAATTATCCTCTTGTAATAATTATGATCATGGGCCAGATTTAGGTTACCCCAAATTCTGTATTTCATTATGAAACTTTTATGAAGTTCTGTATATCTCCTGAGTAAAGGAAGTCATACATTAAGACAAATTTCAAATACATTGGTAGATACATTCGAATGCCAGATACAGTGAGATGGGGGAAGATTTTCTGTCATCCTAAGATAATGTGTAAACTTTTGCTTGTAGGAGCCAGTAGTCTGCTAGGTTAACAGATTCAGCAAGATTTCTGTCTATAAGTCACAAGATGTTAGTTCTGACACAGAGGTCAGTAAGGAATCCGGAGGACAACTTGGCCTAAAATAAAAGAAACCTCTGGACTCCCCACATTCCAATGTTTCCACACTACCGACATTCTAATAATCAACAAGTATCTGCAGATACTGCTTCTTTCCAGGAATTTTCATTCCTACCATACACCCCCATCCCCTCATTAGCAAGTACTTGTAATTGATAAAAGGACCACATTTTTTTCTTATAAAGAAGGAGAGTGTGAGGAGACTGGGCTGCCATATAGCACTTGTTCTCTGAAAATGACTGTCCAATTTCAGGATCAGGTGCATAATACGTTAGACCTTGATTTGCACTACTTCCACTGCCAGAGTGGCTAAAAATCATCTTTATTTGCTAACATGAACTTGTGCTGAATCAGAGCAGACCTACATCTCAATTTCTGTGCAAGTACAGAGGGTCATGTTTACTGAGAATGACACAAATAAGTGTCTCTGCCTCTTACCAATGCCAATATTACTTTGCTAGTCTTTCATATTATACTTTTCTTTTCCCCGAAAGAATAGATGAAATTCTTCCTTATTCTCTTCCTGATTCTTTTTTTTTGTTTGTTTAACTTATGTTTTAAAAATTTATTATCTTTATTATAGGTCTGTAATTTCGGGATTTTTTCATGATCAGTTAAGATAGCCATAACAAAATACCCTGTTTATCAGTACAGTTTCATTTTCTAAATTAGTTGCTTTTGTTTCTTGTGGATAAAGTAATTTCTCCAGCTGTTCTTACCTAGACTGCCTCAATTTGTTGCTTCTTGTCTTATTAGTCATTGTTCATTTATCAAACCCATCCCCATGGCATGCAGAACCATATTTGTGTTGTATGTTTTGAATTTGTGTGTGTGTGTGTGTGTGTGCTTCTTTATACCTTCACTATGAATTATTTTTGTCCTTTCTGTTAGAATGTGTCTCCCTCATAGTAGACAAAGCATACTTAAGGTCAAAACATTCTATAAGATTCATTTCATGAACCATTTGTCTACCATGTGCCTTCTTTGAAAATCCCTTGCTTTGCTTAGTAATATATACATATACATATATATATATTTGTCATTTCTGTTACTGCATTATTTAGTGTTTTAAATCAAAGCTGTCAGTTTATCCACATGAATCATCACTTCTATGATAGGATATTCTTGTGAGCTATAGATCTCCTTTTTGTACCATTTGAAACTATGAGGTCAGTTTTCTCATTATGTCTAACTCATCACTTAATATGTCAGATGCTTCCCATTAGGAATACTATTCTGTTTTTAAATCTGTATTTTCTTTCCATTGTTGAGCTGAAACACTTTTGAATATTTTGAAGTAATTCAGTAAGTATTATAATTAATCTACTCTGTGTGTTTTATCTGTACATCCTATAATTTCTATCTTTCTCCTGTAAATCTAGGCCATTGACATCTGTGATCCAAACCCAGTACTGATGCTAATGCTTTGTGTCTACATGTATGAAAGGCTGCCTACATACCTTCCCAAGAAGGTGGTGAAATTCTCTTGTACTCTGTATGATGTTGTGCTGGGAGAGGTAAGAGGATCTTTGAAACCATCCCCACTAAATTATCTACATCCCCAAATATGTAAAGGTCATTAAATGGCTTTTAGAAATTTAAATAGAAATTCTATTTATGTATAAGTTAGGGAATCATGGGATGTTGAAAGTTGTAAATAAAGGAAGTGTTCCTATGTAAAGCAAATTGTAGTCATTTTCTGCGATTATTCACATGATATTGACATGATATTGAAGTATGTGTTTAAACAAATTAATGATAAATTTGAAAAGAACATTATGATGACAAATTGATCAAAAACTTTTATGTCATATCTGTTGTGAAATACTGAAGAGTTTTGTCACTGTTGAAATGTCAGGGCTAGCTGTGGAAATTCCAGAACTATAAAATAGAAACAGTTCATAATGAGTCTGCTGTGGTCCTCAAAGTTTTCTTCTTAAAACACAATGTTACTTAATTATGTCTCTGAGACATAAAGGAATTTGGTACACTAATACATGAAATATATATACATATGTACATACATGCATGCATATATATGTGTAAATATATACATATAAAATAAAAAAGCACCAAATTTTTGTTCTTAAGTTATAAATGATATCTGTATGTTGTTTAACAATATGGGTCCTTAAATCTTTTGTGAAAACTAAAGACAGAAATAATTAATAGTAGTACATTTATTCTAAGTGTTACCAAAAAGTTTTATTAAAGAAAGTTAATTTTTTCTGTCTTCACATCATTTCCATATTAATAATTTACAGGAACTATCCATGCTCTTATCCTTTCACTATTCAAATATCTGGACGTTTGATTCAGAGTTATGATTCCCCACTCTAAGTTGGCCAATAACAACTTTTACCAAATTTCTCCCTCCTAGGTTTATACTTTCCATAATATTCTTGCATGTTATTAAAGACACATATCCATGACACTTGTTTAAAATTGTATGACAGAGTTATAGAAGATTTATTTAAAATGATAATCTAGACTTTTTACAGGAATGTCATTATAGGTAACTGAGGTGAACTATGAATATAAAAAGAAAAAAGTAAGAATTTGCAACCAAGGAGATAGAGGATGGACAATGAATGAAGCATTACTAAGAGGAAACACCAGGAGTAAAGGAAGATTGTGGCTAACCCATCTTACTAGGATTCTTGCAGGGAAGAGGATCAGACATTTTCTGGGGAAGAGTAGGGGATCAGGAATGTCCTCTATTACATAGGATGATCAGATTACAAAGGTGGAAGTTTCTGGATAAAGTGAGTTATCAAGAACCTTCCAAAAATTGTGTTCTTGAGAACATGCTCAACAATATGAGAATGAACCAAAACTGAGCTCAAAAGGGCTGGACTAAAAATCAATCAATGGGAAAATCCCCATCCTTTTCTGTATGTTTGCGTAGATCGTGGAAAAACATACTGAGAGCCAAATTGATACTAGGGTGAAGTAGACAAAGATCAAGGACACCTCTCCTAGAAAAAAATTCCAGAATACAAAATAGCCACCAGAGGAGATATTTGTTGTCTTACAATGAAATAAAAGTAACAAAGTAAATACATTATGAGACTAGGAAGGCAAACAGACCAGGATATAAACAATTACTCTGATTCCCCAAGTCCAACAGACCAGGATATAAACAATTACTCTGATTCCCTAAGTCCCTGTTCTGATTGTGCTTGTTTTGTTTATTTCTAATACGCATTTATTACTTTGACAATTTATGTGTGTATATAATATATTCTGATTAATCATTTCCCCACATCCTCTTTGATCTCCCTCTGTCTCAACCTTCCCTCATCCCTATCAGTTCTCCCAAGATTGATGATTTTTGCTTTAGTTTTGTGGTCAATTTAGTTTAACCAGGGTTATCTTTGTGAACATTGAATTGTAGCCTAGTAGAGTCACCCAATAGTTACCCAACTAAAGACAATGACTCTCATTTCCCTGAATCTATCAGTAGCAAATAATTTAGTAAAAGTGGGTAGGGCATCTTGAGTCTCCCTTACTTTCTTGTGGTAGACTCAGCGCAGGCATCTGCAGCTTCTGCCAGTTATCAGAGAGACTGTGTTTTTCCCAGAATATGGTATTTCCCAGTTCTTCTCCATACCTCCAAGAATATGGTATTTCCCAGTTCTTCTCCATACCTCCAAGCTCTTACATTCTTTTCTGTCACCTCTCCTTCAAGGTTTCCTGAGATTTAGGATGTTTTCTCTAGGATTCTTATCCATCACTTCTTCTCAGCACCTTGTACAGTCATGCATGTCTTCATTCAGTCTTTCCTTGCACAAGCAGGTAAAATTGTTAATGCCTTTTGTTTTCCTGCATCCTTCATAGCAACTCAAACATTCACAGCTTGCCAATAGGGACAGCTTATTCCTTTTAGTGAAGTGAATATAAAAACTGTGTTCTTCCCAAGAAGACACGTGCATTGTTGGCAAAACATAAAGCAAAACAAAAGACTGCCCTCTTCAGTCTCAGGCCAACCAAAGAATAATTAATTAACTCTGTTTTATTTTTCATGGTCTAACTTTGTATTCAGCTGAAGGTGATCCAGTGTAGGCCTAACCGCAGCTTCAGTATTTGAAATATGAGATTGGTAACTGCGTTTTCTACATCAAAGTCACCTGGCAGATAAGCCCTTTCTTTCAGATTTGTTAGCGTTAGCCCAGTAATGAATCGATAATGGTATTCCCTGCCATAAGTTTTCTTTTTAGCTTCGCAGTTAACTTAAAACTCTCATCATTGGTTCATCTTTAACCTGGAAGCTACAAGCCCCAAGCTGCTCTTATATTTGAGGGTTGACTGCTGGAAATTTAGGATTTCAAACCTTCATTTGAAATTCTGTCTGTCCGTTCTTCAAAGTCACCAACTCCTTACCCCATGTTTCTGTATTATTTTCCTGAATGCCCATCATATTTGCGTATACTTCATTTTAACAGTTGCAAAAATATAACCATTAATAGTGAAATAACTGTCATCCTCCTCTTCTTCTTTTTTTTAATACTCCATGATTCTAGTTCAACTATGTCTAGACCAGGATATAATCATTTCTATTTTGGATATTTCTTCAAACTTAACCTCCTTGGAAAATGTTCTTCACTCATCTGAAAAATTATCCTTTTATGGAAACCAAATTATGGTAGTTTTGCTTCTGAAAACTGTACTCTTAAAAATTAAATCTAATTTGTTAGTTTTGAAACTTTGAATGTTCATAGACAATATTAGAAGATCCTTCTTCAATTTGATAAATTGTAAGGATAGAAGTATTATCATTTTAACACCAAGTCTGTAGTTTATTTATCACTTGGGAGGCAGAAAGTGGAAGAGAATAATTTCCAGGGCGTCCTGGGCTATGTAGCAATGCCCTATTCAACACACTTGGAAATTCTAATATCATTTTACACCTTCCAGTTAATATAGGATACATTAAGATGAGTATGTTCGTGTGCTGAATGTCTAACTTTCTGTATCAAAACTAAGAAATAGTATGAGTTTTTAATCTTCTTTGTACCATCTTCTCTATCGACTTAGATACTAGTGAAAAACCCAAGCTTGAAAAATTTAGTGTATACAGCTACAATTGTTGGAAGAGATGCTGCTGACTTCAGTCTTGCCCAGACGGGGAATGTTGTAACAATTTCCCCCAAGTGAGTATTTTAAAAATATTTGAACCTAAATATTTAATATTTACAATAAATATTAAAACGTGACTTCAATTTTTCTAAATTGGTAGGCATGCAATGAAAAACTTGAACAAATAACATAGTTAAGATCCCGAGATTCACTTTTAATATTGTCAAAACAATTCTAACAAAATAGCTACTTATATGCATGTATTTAATTAATTTTAATTTAATTTGTGTGCAAATGGACCATCATGTTAGCATCATAAATTCTTTCTTTACATAGCATAAGTCTGTTTCACAAAGGAAATGCAATTATTCCATACTAACACTATACATAATCTTATAATATACATGCTACTTTATGTGGAGTTTCTCATTATTCTAGCAAGATAAGGTCATGATTGAAATTTAGAAGCTATGGAAGAATGAAGAAATGAGTAAAAATTGTATAATTCTCCTTCCAAAAAGCACTGATGTCACTATATTGCTTTAAATTCTCGTAGTTTTTGTGCTATATAGATAGTAGATAAATATCTAGGTGGAGATATATATATATATACATATGAATAATATGCCCATTATAATCCTAATTATGACATGTAAAGGAATACATGAATCATTTATTAAATGTATTCAGTGATGTATACTCATCTATGCACACTTAATCCAGGAGATTAAGAATTATATACTTTTATCTAATTACTGTATCACATGAGCCTAAAACAATTCCTGACACATTAGAAATTATCTTTGAATAAAAATCGAATGAGGAATTAGTGATTTAATGGACTTTAAGCATCATATAGAAAATTCTTTATTCATTATGTTATTCTTGCACTGGATTTGAGCTTCTACGCCACGAAAATAAATCCCATACGAAAAGCTTTTTATTTCCAATGATATTTTAGCTCTTGAGTCCTATATAACAATCCATTTGAACAAAATTTTGATTATTGGGGACACATCTGAACAAAACTCCTCCTGTTGTATGTGGCCTGTGATTTTTCCATACAAAATATAGCTTGTGTATTTTTTACGATATTTAAATGAACTCATTCACCCTACTCTTTGCTTCTACCTCATCTCAACCTTTAATCAGTGGTCCCACAGACTATGGCTATTATGCCAAGGTTTCACAGCAAGGGCAAGTTTTCCTATGTTCATTCTCATCATTTTTACTTCAGTAGAGTTTATAAGTAATAATTTGTAGGATAAAATAACTGAGTATTACATATAATGCCAGTTGTACTAAAAGTGAAAGTAAAAATCAGTTGTAAAATATCCCTAGGATTTATCACTTGTATTCAGTCATGAAAACCCAGCTTATTCTTGATTCAAAGTCCATTACTTACATGAAAAGGGAAAGCAAGAAGTGCTACATTTCTTCCTTGCACAAGAGAAAACCAAAGAGAACAAAGTGGACGGCATGATATATGGGAAGAGGCAATCTCACAGTACTATGATACAGTTTCATACCCTGTAACTATTCTAAAGAACATGAGTTAGCAAGTCTCTGAGCTCATCACACCCCATGAGGCTGGGATAGCTTCGAAGTAATGTTCTTGTGCGTTATAAGCCTCCAATTCACTTCAAAAGGGTCTGCATGCTTCCTCTCAAGGCTTTATAGCAGAGTGCTTAAGCTGTCAACATGTGGCCCAGTGTCAGCATTTTTCTGTAAGTGGGTGAATTGAATCTTGTCCACAGCTGCAGCCTGCCATTAGCCTACATGTTATACTACATGGATAATATGTGTGTGTGATATAAAATGAAAATACCTGATTATATTTTCTTTACTTCATCTTTTAATTGAAATTTTTGTCAAATAACTAACATACTGCTGCTCTTTTCATTATCAGATTGTACTTTCTAACCTTAGCTTAAGGCATTAATTTAATTCAGAGGTTTTGTTAAATTTTTTTTTGTTTGTTTGCTCCATATAACCAAGATAAAGTACAGGACATGATTAATATATTACGGACAAAAATGTACTCATACCATTATACAAAAGGTGTATGGTTTCATATTGTTTTCTGCTAGAAGTTAGAAAATATGATATATTGTACATATACTTGATGGTTAAATTTAGAATATACAGATGGCTTTTTGCTTCAATGTTTAATTTTCATAACAGTGAATACAGTACAGGGTATAGGTACTGAACTTGCTTTGTACCTAATATACTTTTAATTGTCTTTTATTTTAATAAAATGCTTCCTCTTATTTTTTTTGTTAAACAGAAACCAAAGTCTCCTCATTCTGAAATTTTTAAGTCGGTTCCTCCATCCCGCTGAAGCTACACTATTATTAATTTCAAAACCTAAGGCCGGAGCAGGAGGCAGTACAATGGCTTTTGCTCTGAAAGGAGAAGTCCTAAATTTTAAAGCAATTGTAAGTAAACGGTACTCATTTTGTATACTTTTGCTCTTGTTCCCCAGCCCCTGTCATATCACACCACGAGTGTTCTTACCTGTTTGTAGCTGTTCAGCTCTTCTGCCTTTAGGTCCTCTCTTTGCCATCAGACCTAGTAATTTAAGGTTTTGTTGTGAGGGCACTGATACTTTTGAGTTGATTCAACAAATGTTTTTCTCCTATGGACATTTATCAACTTTTAATATATCTTTTAATTTCTATTATTTAGTGTCTCAAAAAAACAAAATAAAAGAATGAAAAACTTTCGAGTATACAAGGCCGGAGTATGAAGTATAAAGAACGACTCTAGAAGCATTAAGTGGTAGCAAGATACTAGAAAGGAGCACCGAGATGCTCACATGGACAGACTTAGCAGGCAGTGATGCCCCAAAGGGTGCTTATTCCTCACTATGACATGTTGATTTCTTCCAGTTTCGTCTTTAATAATGAACACTTCATATTTCTCAACTCTTTCACAAATATTCTCTAAAACAATGTATGACTTTTCCACATAAATTCAGTCAGTTGGCTGATTTTATCCCCTCATTAACCTCAATAAGGGAGAGAAAACTGATTGCGTGAATGTCATGCAGCTCTGATTACACCCCCTCTTCCCACTCAGGTCAAAAGGAAGTAGATTACGTTATAATGAAGAAAATATTTGAGACAAATATAGTCATTTATGAGAGTAAAATTTCTAGAAATTTTCTATGCAGAATTCATTTCAAATTTTTATCTTTTATCTGCACTTTTTATGTAAGCATGTCATTATAACCTCCACATTATCAACATAGACAAGTTAGTATTCACACACAGTTTACAAAGATATACGCACATACTTTTAAACTTAGGTATATACAAATAATATATATTTGCAATATATATATATATACATATATATATATTATCTGTGGATAGGAATCATGTCTGATTATTCCTGAAATCTTTATCTGTTTTATCTGTTCATTTATGAAATCAGTTTGAAGTAGATAAATTTAGGAGCTAGTCAAATATTTTAATTATTAGCACACTGTTGTGGATAAGTATAACATAAATTACATTTTACCTGATCTGAATTTTATATTAAAATATTTGTGGGGGAAATTATTATATTAATTATTGTAATAATAAAGTGGACAGTAGTTTTTGAGATTGCATTTAAAGTTAAAGATATTTTGAGTTTTTTGACATTATTATACATTATGACTTTTTTTTTACTTTAGGATATTCTAAAATGCAAAGCACCATGTTATCAATGGAAAGAAGTCTCTGTGAACGTGAAAAATCCCTTTTCAATGAGTGGAGATTTTCGGTAAGTTTTTCTTTTAAGGAAAATTTATTGCAGTTCACTATCTGTATTCAACATGATTCTTGTGAGGGGAAACTGAATGTTCCTATATACTTTATACCCCTATGAACTGTGATGACAATGCCTGGTAAAATCTAAGCCAGACAAAATCCTGACACAGAGATCAAGTAGAATTAGACACAAAGTGCCATCTCTAGCCAAGATATTATTTGTAACTGATACCTGCTGAACAAAAAGGAAAACCAGTTTCCTTCTAAAATATATTACCTCCAAAAGTCAGACAGATGCAGTATATGTATTGGGACAGAAAGTGTCAATATAATATAAAGTTTGCTGTGTTTAACAATTGATAACTTATTACTTAATATTTGTCAACTTGAAATATTTTGAGTCATTCTGTGTTCAACTTTCAAAGATTTGTTATTAATCATATCATACATTATTGATTAAACAAAATTTATTTTACTGAATAATTATTTATGTATTTATAAATTCCATATCTAAATAAATTAAAATTTATTATTGAGCCCTTCAGCAAATTTCTGATATCCATTTTAGTCTCCAGAATTTCTTCCCAGTTCTTTTTTATAATGTCTGTTGTTATTCTATATGAAGTGCTACATCAGCCTCATACTTCCTTTTACTTCTTTAATATGTTTCTGTAATTCTTTGAAGTTATGTGTAATAACTAATTTGAATTTGTTTCCTAATAAACCTGATATCTGAGTCACAGACATTTTCAGTCATCTGTCATTTCTTGTTTCTTTACATGTTTAATATTTTTTCTTTTTTGATTTACTGTCTTTAATGTTTTTTCATATCTTTTGATTATATACCTTCCTTTCCCCTAATTCCTCCTAGATCCTTCCTCCCCTCCCAACATCATGTTCCCCCACTAAAAAAAAACAAAAATGCAGATAAAAATAAAGAAAAATATGAAACTAAAACAAAAACTTCAAAAAATGCACAAAAACCATAGAGTTGTGTTTGCTGACTATTTGTGAGCATAAAACCCGTACTGGAGTGTGGTCTATATATCGAGTGTCACTGCACTGGAGGAAACTAGTTTTCCTTTTTTAGCACATGTCAGGTACAAATAGTATCTTGGATAGAGATGGAACTTTGTGTCCAATTCTACTTCATTTCTGTGTCAGGATTTTGTCTGGCTGGAACTTGTGCAGGCTATCACAGTCTCTGTGAGTTTCCATGTGTATCCTTCCTGATGTTTTTTTTTTATCATTTTTTATTTTAATTTTAAATAGCTTGTTTTACATGTCAATCCCAGTTCCCTCTCCCTCCCCTACTCCCACACTCCCCTTCCCCCCACCCTCCCACCCTATTGCCAAATCCTTCCACATAGGGGATATCTAGTCTGTCATTAGTGAATATTTTTCCTATTCTGTGGGCTGCCTTTTTGTCTTGCTGACTGTGTCCTTTGCCTTACAAAAGATTCTCAGCTTCAGGAGGTCCCATTTATTAATTTTTGACCTCACTGTCTGTGCTATTGGTGTTATGTTCAGGAAGCTGTCTCTTGTACCAATTCGTCCAGGGGTACCACCCACTTTCTCTTCTAAGAGGTTCAGTGTGGCTGGATTTATGATGATGTCTTTGATCCATTTGGACTTAAGTTTTGTGCATGGTGATAAACATGGATCAATCCGCATTCTTCTACATGCCAGCCTCCAGTGATGCCAGCACCATTTGTTGAAGACGCTTTCTTTATTCCATTGTATATTTTTAGCTTCTTTGTCAAAGATCAGATGTTAATACGTGTGTGGGTTAATATCTGGGTTTTATAATTGATTCCATTGGTCTACCTGTCTTTTTTTTGTGCCAATACCAAGCTGTTTTCAGGACTATAGCTCTATAATAGAGCTTGAGGTCAGGGATGGTGATGCTTCAGGACGTTGCCTTGTTGAACCGGGTTGTTTTGGCTATCCTGGGTCTTTTGTTTTTCCATACAAAATTGATTATTGCTCTTTCAAGGTCTGTGAAGAATTGTGCTGGGATTTTAATGGGGATTGCATTGAATCTGTAGATTGCTTTTGGCAGGATTGCCATTTTTACTACATTGATCCTACCTATCCAAGAGCATGGGAGGTCTTTCCATTTTCTGAAGGCTTCTTTAATTTCTTTCTTTAAAGATTCAAAGTTCTTGTGATACAAGTCTTACACTTGTTTGGTTAGCGTTACCCCAAGGTATTTTATGTTGTTTGTGGCAATTGTAAAGGTGATGTTTCTCTGATTTCTTTTTCAGCCCTTGTATCATCTGTATATAGTAGGACTACTGATTTTCTTGAGTTGATCTTGTAGCCTGCCACTTTGCTGAAGGTGTTAATCAGCTATAAGAGTTCCCTGGTAGAGTTCTTTGGGTCATTGATGTAAACTATCATATCGTCTGCAAACAGTGAAAGTTTGACCTCTTCCTTCCCAATTTGTATCCCCTTGATCCCCCTTTGTTGTCGTATGGCAATAGCTAGAACTTCAAGTACCATGTTGAAAAGGTATGGAGAGAGTGGACAGCCTTGTCTTGTTCCTGATTTTAGAGGAATTACATTGAGTTTCTGTCCATTTAGTTTGATGTTGGCTGTCGGTTTACTGTATATAGCTTTTATTATGTTTAAGTATGTCCCTGTTATCCTAGATCCCTCCAAGACCTTTATCATGAAGGGGTGTTGGATTTTGTCAAAGTTTTTATGAACAATTCTGAAAAAATTTGAAACACAATTGTACTCATTCTGAGTATTGCTTCTATCTCTTTCACGCCTGTCTATTCATATTGTATTTTCTATGTAAATTTTTCACATATTTTTGTTTGAAGGCTTTCCCTTTTCCCTAATATATCCTTTGAGTTACAAAATGAACACACATGTATACTATGAATATAAGCTATAAATGATTAGAAAAGTAGTGTGTTACGTTACAGTTGGAAATAATTCTTTTTGTATTTATTTCAGTGTCATTCTTGTGGAATCCACAACACTTTTGTATTTGCCATCACAAGTAACTGAATCTTCAAGAGCTACTTTGATGCCTGAGTAAGCTTCTTTGATTTTATATTCGTACTATGGCAGTGGAAGACTTCCTAGGGCCAGTGGCCTACCTGTTCTTCTGGCTGACATGGCCTGCACTTGTATAGGGGATCTTATACTATTTTTTTAAAGGATGACACACAAGTAATCTTTTAAAAATTTGATTAAACAATTCTACATTTTTAAATATTTTTTAGTTTCTTGCACAAATAAGACACTCTTTTTCATTATAGAGTTTGCTTAAATGAATGTATTTTTTTCATATTAACAGTGAAACTTATACAGTGATATTTTGGAGTCTGATTTCTATTCAAAATTGCATTATCTGAGCATAAATGATCCAAGAACATAAAAAAATTAATGAACTGGAAAATTGAGTTTACTTACATGATTTGAAATACAACATAGGTATTTTATATCACAAATTTGAAATGTTTTCTTTTACACTGTTATTTTGTTCTTTTGGTTGGGAGCCTTAGCCTTTAATGACTGACTTATCTCTCGAGCCCTTGTGTAGCTTTTAATGTGCTTAATTTGTTGTGAATATCTCAGGTATTGACAGCAAAGTTACCAGTAAGGACACAATAATTTCTGATGTATCCTTCCTAAATGAAAAACAAAAATGAAATGAGCGAGTGTGTAGTAATTTATGGATTTATATATTTGGAAAGGATATTTTGAAAGTACCCACCAAAATAGTGATCCACTCATGAAGAGACACAACCAAAGGAAATGTTTCTACCGTGTTTCTAAATGTTTTTGATTACTCTTTCACATATTCATTTGCATTTCATTTAATATATTTCTGTAGTTCTTTTTCAAGTCTCCTCTGATGAAAATAGTTAAAACAATATTTTTCTAAAAAAATTACCAGACACCAAAAAGGTTAAGGAAATGTATATAAAATCATGCGCAGAATGAAAGTATGATGTAGCAGGTCTAAAATTTATAAAAATTAATACAGCCTACAATATATTGTCTCATATATGTATTTTGTCTCAGTAATATCCCAGTCTAGAATATAAATTAATCATCAGAATGTCAAGAATAATTTATGTTTTAAAAATTGTAATGACTATTTTTGAGATCACAGGTCAGTTTCCCAGTACACACACATAAACACACACACACACACACACACACACACACACACACACACAAAAGCTAAAAGGAATATCTTAATAGTCTTTGCCATTTTTGTCGATCTCATACCCATATTTACAACAGTTTTGTGATCTAAGTTTTTACAGTTTTGTTTAATTTGTTGTTGTTGTTGTTTGAAACCACATGTATAAAAACTTTATTTAAAGTCTCCATTGAAAGATGTTGTACCCTGGAATATCTGGAGAGTACCAGGCAAGCCAAAGCTAAATGCAAGGTTCATTTTAGAAAACAAAAATTGAACCTATAAGCAAAGTACAGATGATATTCTTATTTAGTTTGTACAGGTGTGTTTATCTTATATATAAATAACACCAGAATATGCTATTTTCCCTAAGATTAGAAACCTTTCAAAATGCTCCTCATGAAACATCATTAGCAGGCATTCGTGAATAGCTATAAAAATTTGAGAAGGCTAAGGTACTAGTAGTAACAAAAAGGCAGGTGAGATACTGTTTCTTTTGACTTTGGGCTACCAAGAAACTAATTTTATAAAACAATGATCCTTGTCAAAGAATTCCTAGGCTTGTGAACATACATATAATAGAATTTTTACAAACTATACAATTTTAACTAAATTATTTTCATATTTCTCCAATAATCATAATAATATTTAGTTTCATAAGAATGTGAGACAAGTTCCTAAATCCACAATGTTTTCTGCCATTATCATAAGCAGTATGTGGATCTTAACTTATCTGAGTTAGGAATATACTTTGTGGATAAGCCAACTTTCAAGTTTCTCCAAAGGATTTTTATCTCTTTTTTCAGACAAAATGCACAAAGGAAAAGGGATATGAAGCTCATATCCATATAGTTTTCTATGTACTATGATAAAAATGATTGAAAGACTAGAGATTGAAATATTGAACAAAATGAAGCTGTAGGTTATCTGTGGGTTTTAATCAGTAATTCTGCTTTGTCCCCATTATCAAAGAGATGGCAATGAAGCCATATATGAAGAAATGAGACACAATCTTTACTATAATTTTCACTTTGTGTATGACCTATATTTCACATGAAGAAGTTTCTATCTATTGTACCCTGGAAAGCCTTAAAATTAAAGTATCTGTCAAATACTCAAATTGCAAAAAATATTAAAGGTTCTCAATTTTTTAACAGAGATAGAGTACTTAAGTTTCCTTCTAAAATGTCTATTAGTAGAATTAAAGCACAGAATAAGTATAAAAGTGAAAATTAACATCAACAAGAATGTGCTGTTATGAAAGTGTTATTCATAATATTCAAATGGAATTAATGGAAATGTAGGTATTTATGTCACGGAATTAATGGAAATGTAGGTATTTATAATCATTTTAGTTAGAAGTAGTATTTTGCAGGGTCAATTTTAGATGTACATCTGTGAACTGTAAATATTACTTGATAGCTTATTGATCAAAATAATCATAAATATTAACAGATAAATAATATGGGTGAAGTTTATGGTTCTGGAGTACTTGAAATTTGTCCCGAGAGATAGTTGTCATGTTCTGTCATTTTTCATAACTGCATCTGAAATTTTAAAACTGCCATGTGTCCTACATTTATAAAAATAAAGAAAACATGCAAATAATTACAGAGATTTTTTTTCCTTGGCAAGCAAATTTGTTCTACAACCACATTTGAAGAGAATTTCTGTTTAGCCTGAAAATGTATCCTATTTTTCGTCTCGCTATTTAAAATAACAGAGGAACATTTCACTAATATTTATAAATAATGTAAGACATTTGGGCAAATGGGCCTTTGATCCCAGCACTAGGGACACAGAGGCAGATCTCAATGAATTACACACCATTCCAAGTATACACATGGTCTCTGGACTCCCATAGAACAATGTGAGGTGCACTCTCACCCTGAACTCTTGGGGAAGGGTCTAGGCCCTGCCCTATATGAAATGACAGACTATGGACACCCCCATGGAGGGCCTCACCCTCCCTGGGGGAATGAGGGGATAACGGGGGGAGGGGGGATGGGGGGGAGGGCACGGGAGGAGGGGAGGGAAAGGGAGAGGGACCTCGTACTGACTTGTGAAGCAACCTTGTTTCTTATCTAAATTTAAAATGGAAAATAAAAAAAATATTAATAAATAAAAGAAAAAAAAATGTATAAAAATTTAAGTTTGATATGCTAAATATATTTTTATAATGTATGTGAGAAGGTGTACATTAACAAAGAGTTCCTTGTGTGACCTCAGCTCATCTTGCTGGCCCCACTGATTTTAAAGTATGCTCTTTAGGAAGTGTTCTATTTCTGTCCATCAATTATGATAGAGCCTATGATTGCTCAACTCCATGTGCTTCTCCGTGATGTTTGTCTTATTAGACAAGAAAGGTCCAGGGAGGTAGTCCACTGAATCTGTTGGTCATAAATCCTCCCATAATATAATCACTGGGTGCCTGCTACATGCTGGGTGACACATTACATACAGGGTGCTGGAGACAGGTGGAGAAGCACACAGAGTGGAAACGAAATCAACTTTGACAAATGTCAACTGGTACATGGAAACCATCTCTAAGTAGAAAATCCTAAGATATGGATGACAAGCCCAGTGCTGAATGTGGTGTTTTTGTGAGAGCTATAAGACATTTAACAGTACAAAAGAGGAAATGCTATGTTAGAATAAAGGAGATGGTGTTTGATGTCAGGTCAACAGACAGTGATGGGGAGAGACCATTCTGGGCAGTGAGGCAGATGAGTTCAGGGCACCTTAAAAAAAAAAAAAAGAATATGCAATTTTCAATAAAAATAGAGAATTTTAAAAATATATAGTGTGTAATGTTGATGTTCTTTCCTCCTTCTGGCAGTCATAGTATGAATGGTGACTATGATGCTGACCGGAGTTCTTCCCATGCTGAAAATGGCTTACTAACCTGTGAGTACCTGGTGAAAGGCTTCTGGTTTTATTGTTTGTTTGTCTGTAATTTAAATTGGATCTGGTTTTTTTTGTTTGTTTTTGGTTTTTGTTGTTGTTTCGAGACTGGGTTTCTATATGTAACAGCACTGACTGTACTGGAATTTACTCTGTACACCAGCCTGGCCTCAAATATACAGAGGTCCTGCTACCTCTGACTCCTGGATGCTGAGATTAAAGGTGTGTGTCACCATACCTGGCTTGGATCTTATTTTTATGTGAAAAAATTCACTGACATATTCATCAAGGGTGGTTATGATAATAGAGATTTCTGATCAGATGGAAACTGACTTGTTGCTTGTCTGCTTTTTTGTTAAATGCCATTTAGATTACTGGGCCCACATCTTTCCTTTCACCCCTACATGTGTTTACATTAGCATGTAGGGAACATGTTTAAATATTTGGTCTTTATGTTGCTTTCTAATTTTATCGAAGTCTTTAAACCTATTTAGGTAGCAGGTATTATTAAGGTTGGAACTATAAATATACAGTTTTTCATTTAGTATTATTAAGTCAATACAAGTCTCAAAAAGGTAGGCAAAGGTATACACAGTTGGCTTCAAAGAACTCCAATTTAACTTTCAGAAGTTAATCATTATGTTTCTGAAAAGTCTAATATTTCAACATTGTATTTAACCATACACTATTAAGTGTTTGAATATGCTGTGGAAAAATATCCTAAAAGATGGGTAAAATGATGAACAGGAAACTGATTTTCGAAATTTTGTTCTTAACTATAGCTATAGAACAGTCCATTGCAATTAACAGTGTCAGCGACACACAGCAACATAAATCAGATCTAACTTCTCTGTCTTATATTTCTGGGTTGACTGGACTCACCTGCATAACTTCATCTCATGATCTCTCAAGTCATTACCATCAAATGGAAGCTGGGACATGGGATATTTCAAAGCTATTTTATTCATGTGACCAGTGTCTAATGATGCCTTTCATCCATGGTATCTTAGCTGGGCCGTTGCCTTAAAATCTCACACGTTGAATCTACATATGTCTCAGGCTTCTCATCGAATAATAGCTAGGTTTTAAAAGAAAGTTAAATTATTAGGCAGATATTGGATTACATTTTCTCATATAGTATCAGAAATCATGGCACTTCAATTCTGCTGCAGTCTAGTATAGCACACAGTGTTTGTTCAGATGAAATAACTAACGTTGGACTATTATATCATCACATTTTAGCAGGATTTGATGAATCTGTCAATATATTTTAAATCTATTGAAAATATGAGTGCTTTTTATGTATATAGTAGTCACTTCCAACGTATGAATTAAATTCATAGAGTACTGCGGTCTCCTTTCATGAGATGCTTTATTAAGAAAGTTTAATGTCAAGGTTGAGATCTGGTCACCAATAGGTTCTTATTAAAAAGTATGTATTATCTTTATTTTATTTATTTGTTTTTTCAGGATAGGGTTTCTTAATATAGACCTGGCTGCCTAGCACAAGCTCTGTAGACCATGCTGGGCCTCAAATTTACATAGCTCTGTCTCATGAGTGCTGGGATTAAAGGCATATACTACCACAGCCTGACATATATTATCTCATAATATTATGTTATAATGTTTTCAACATTTTATACATCATAATGTTAGTTATTTATTGAAACAATAGTTTGTTTAAATATCACTTGTTATTTATCAACTTTCTCTGGGTCATGTTTTCTTAGCAATTAAGTCTAACTTCATCAGAGAATTCTTCTGTTCAATGCATACAATTTACTTGGGAGCAAAAGGATCTTCGAGCCTGGAGATCTGCTATCTTCCCTTTGACATGCACATTCGCTATTGTGCCATCATCCTGAGCAACGAAGCGGTAAGAACAGAATTGTTCTCTGTGCTTCTTCCATTATGGGTTACTGCCATAATGAGTTAACCATTAAAGGCAATTTAAAACAACTGGGACTCTGGAAACATTCATGCTTCTAGTCGTCAAATTCCAACCAAGAAGCTTTTTCTGAAGAATACCAAAAGATTCCCACTACTTATAGATTCATTTATGGTGGCTGCATGAGGAAGTTCCATGGACAAGCAACCACCACAAGTAGCTTTATGTCAGTCTCAGAGAGTCAAAGTTAAGTCCTCTACTTAATGTTTATAAAATCTTCAATTAAGGAATTGGCCAAGGCTGGCATCTCCTCAGATTGTCATCTGAGGATAGGTCTGCTTCCAAATTCACAAGATGTTTATGGAATTCATTACTTTGTACCTGTGGCATTCGTGCAGCTAGGTTCTTAAAGCCAACAAAGGAGAGAACAATTCGGGGTGGGGTGGAGAAGATATGGGAGAATCACTCTGAGAGACTGACTGCTAGGTAACAATCTGAGGAGGAAATTTAGAATTCTCGGAATATATAGCCAAGCATATATGTATATCCTGTGTGTTCACTGTATTTAAATTATCGATGATATTAAGAGATAATACTTACCTAGTGTGTGTAGAATTAATTGCATGTGAAGAATAGTATATTCTATTAATTGTAAGATGTACTTTAATTTTACATTTACAAACATCACTGAAGAAGAGTGCATCATAGAACTCACTTTGTTTTATCTTATTCAGTGCCTAGATTTGCAGCTCAGTAGTAGAGGGATTGTGCAGCATTCACAAAGCCTTGGCATTTATTCTCAGCAATGGAAACAAAATCATTTAGAATTCAAGTACATTACTTTCTATATTTAAAAAATGTATGAAAATAACTGGTTATTGTTTGTTACCATTAATTGTATCAAATGTTCAAAATACCTTTTCAAAGTTGATTTATAATCATAGAAAATTAATTTTCAGGAGTAGAATTACCAAATCTGTTTTCTTCCTTGCACTACACTACTAGAATACTATCTACTTACATAAATGAATTTAAATTCTTTAAAATATAGGCAAGCTTATTTTTGGCCTCCTCACTTATTAAAAAACGTTTGATTATATATATATATAAATACATATATTTATAATATATAATCCTTGCCAGAGAAGTCATTAAGATAAAAACAACAATTTTAGAAATAAATTGCTGCTTATTGAAAAGAGTGCTACAGTTTAAAGTATTTAATTGAAATATGTTTGATTTTAATTTGTACATTCAAGTATATTGTTAATTATTTTTAAATGTACCTTTATGCTTTACTATATAACATACATGCAAGCAATCACAAGTGATTTGTTCCTATTTTTGTTAAATGTGTGATAACTCCTTTCATGTTAAGCCCATTTACTAAAAACTGAAGTAAATAGGCCTCTGTTTGTTAGTTTTCCACTCATAAAATAAAACCATTTCTACCAACAGTGTTTTCAAGAGTACACATTTATTTTACTTCTGTGTGTTTTGCTTCAACATCCAAGTTAGAAAGGAAATATTTGCATAATTTGAAGACAGAGACTTGTAGAAATCTTTCATCTGTATTCATAAAAATTTTCACCTTCTAGGCAGATTCACAACAGTCCTTAAAGCTGCTATTACATGCCAGAAGTCCAAAGAACTTACAAATATAAAATGGAATTGGAAAGCTTAAAATGGAAACTGTACCCGAATCAGAACTTAATCCCAGAGGAATTTCGTCTCCTTAAATTGAGAGAACAGGCAGCATACAAACATTACAGGTCACAGCAGTAACCTGACACATTGATCTTGCTGCACTGTGGTTGCCAGCTTTTGATTGCATTTTATGGAAAGGATTCTGCTGTGTTCTCATTCTAGAAACCAGCAAGCGCTGACTGAACTCATTTTTATGAGGAAGTTGATAACCTTAGATAGGGATTTTTTTGAGCGGCCTTTAATGTGTTGCTTTTAATTACAGCCACTTGCTCTGGTATACTAGGCCTCTTCCATAAGTGCTTGAACTTTGTTGTTGATCCAACTACCACATATCTCTTTTCTAGTGTCTTCCACTATTTTATTGCCTTCTTATAGTGACATACCTTGTTTAGAACAAATATTTGTAACCTTTATTTTTCATGTGGTCTTCTTCAAATCCTGCCATTTTAATTTCTTGTAATACAATGATTAAAGATGTATTACAGAAGATACATAATACACATAGAGGGAAGGAACAGATTGTTCTTACAAATATAAAACTAATAAAAGCTTTTTTAATATGCTTACTGGAAGAGGCAGCTGGAGAATTAGTAAAAAGTGGATTAAAACTCCCACTTGCATTGAAACTTCAGCGAGAAGTGAGATTTTTAAAAGCTTAAAAACACTGCTCACTGACACTCAGGCCTGGGCAACCTATGGGGCACTAAGCAGTAGACCGGTGTTTATCCCAGTCATACAAACAGACTTTGTGTGTCCACAACACAAAGAGGGATGCTCTCTCAGCCTGGACTCTTAGGGAGTGCCTGGACCCTGCCCTGAGGGAAATGACAGACTCTGGATATCCCCTATGTGGAAGGAAGTGGGGATAGGGTCGGAGGCTGGGGGGATGGTGGGGGTTCCTGGAGGAGGGGATGGAGAGGGTACTGGGATTGACATGTGAAGCAAGCTATTTAAAATTAAAATAATAAAAAGCTTAAAAACATACAATAAAGAGAATAGGTGTCTGTGTAGGGCATGATATAAGAAGCCAAATGAATGGAATTCGTTGTATAGATGAATCAAGAATCATCTGCAGTCAAGCATCTAGACTTCTGGATCAACTCCTGTCCTTCCTGGTAGAGAGAAAGGGAAGAAACCACTGTAAATAAATATCTTGCTTTTTGTTTTTTCTGTTTTCTTCTTTTAACACAGGGTTTCTCTGTGTTGCTTTGGAGCCTGTCCTGTAATATCTTGCTTTTAAGTACAGAGCAGACTTTGTCCTGTACCTACTTCTTTTCAGTAGCCTTCTTCTCAAAATAATCTTGAATTAAATCAGTCATAACATGGTATGGCATTTCCTCATTTTCTCTATCTTATAATTAGAACTACCTGTTTTTGACAAGGCCAATGATACAATTTTGCCAAAAATGTTTTAATTTTTTAATACCATCAAATAGCTAGTCAGTGTTCAAGTTCCCTAATTGTCTGATGCTTCTAAATTTGTCCTCAATTTATGCTTCTTTGTTGAATCTGGATCTAATAATATTTCCCCACTGTGGTTTCTGTTGTGTCTTTAGATGTTCCTTTCTTCCACTTGTTTTCATTTATGCTCTAGGCTTCTAAAGACACTAGTTGTACAGAGAAGGAAGAGAAAACTTAGAGACCTACTAAACTTCCCTGAGGCTTAATGGCTACTAGCCAAACAATGGAAGCATGCTCACTACTGTTGATTTCTCTTTGTAATGTTGATGGCCTTTCATGGTTTCCACTTTAATTCTTGCTTTACACATTTAGCCTTTTGTACATTTTATTCAATAATTTGTCCTAAAATATTTTGGATATTCATATGCTCATTTTGAAAATGCATACTTTACAAGATAGTCTCTTGGATGTACATGTTCTATAATAATTATATAATAATAATAATAATAAAGAAGTAAAGTTATTGTTGTCATGTTGTTACAATAGGGACAACGTTTCTTTCATGTTTGCATGGTCATTTTATGATTGCTTCATAAGAATATCTGTAAAGAATTTCTAGGACCTCCTTTTTTCAGCTTTTCTATCTGATTTTATACCAAATTCATCAGATGCTAATGTAGTACTATATAATTTATTTTGCCCATATAAATTAGTTCATAGGTTGCTTGGAAAAGCATGCAAGAAAGTTCCTATAAAGTGTATAGATTTTTACTTTGACATGATTGTAATGTAGGTTTTATGAGTGCTTAAATTATCCTTATGTTTTAGATTGGAGATTTGATATATGTTATAGAAGGAAAAGGTTTGATACCCTTGCCTTCCAATTTCCTTTCAATGAAGCCTCCAAGTCCAATTGACTACAGTACTTCTGCAGAAGAAGGTATGTTATACATATTTTGCTTCATTATATTGACAGATGGCATTCTTCCTAATATCATCATGCAAAACATCATTATAGCAGTTATCTTCAATATTCATTCATATTTTGGAAAGCCTTCTTCTAATTGTATTATGTTTGTGTCAATAAAACAGCACCATTTTACTAGTTATTAGTTATAAATCTAGGTTTTTAGTCCTCAGATAATATTGGAATTTAGTATACTAAATATTACTTAATAAATCCTACTGATTTCTGTTTGGAAATTAAATCCCTATATTCTGAAATACATCATTTTTTTATAATCCAGATTTCTCTCCTTATTTCTAATTCTTGACTACTAGCCCTTAAAGAATTTGGTTGTTAATGAAATCTAGTTTTATTTTATGCCTGTCCTTAAAGGACATAATTTTCATGTTTATTTCCATTTATCATACCTTATCCTTATAGTGTGGTAATTCATTTCAATGATTGTAAAAATAAAAAAATGGGCATGAGTATGAACTCTGACAGAAGTTTTGATGGGAAACAAAAGGAGTTGAGAGAAATCTGTGAGTAATGATTCTGAAAAGTGAAGGAGGTGTCAATTGAGACAAGAATGAATGTTGTATTTATCAGCTTCATGGGATAGTATGATTTTTGTTAGTTCACATTAGCATTTTTAAAGAAATCTCTTTCTCATGGTTAAGAGGACTTTCCCATGGATGGTAGAGATTTTATCTATTTATTTACTTACTTACTTATTTTATTGTTTGTTTGTTTTTTACCTTGAGATAAAATTTGTCCTTGGAGACATCTATAACTGCTGAGTTTTTTTTATCTTGTAATACAAATTTGCCTCTGTGGCTAACAGGCTTTAGTGTATTAGGGGTTATGAGAATCTGTCCTATCTTTTCTCCATAAGAGTTACTCTTACTACTTTATCAGGGTCACGGTGTACTAAGTTTTTGAGCATATTAATATTTTGAAAAAAGTAGTATTGGAGTAAAGCTTCTCTTAGAGAATATCAGTAGAATATATTTTACTTTACAAGTCTTATTCTTTAATCAGTTGTTTGGAATTAATAGAAATGTATTATCCATTTTTTTGTTTTCTCTGCTTAATGAATATTGTAACTAACTGCACTTTTATGTTTCTAACTTCACAAATCCATGCTTGATAATACTTCTGAGGGAAAAAAGTGTTCATTGCATTAATTAGTATTTTTATTTTCCAAGAATATAATAACGAAGATCCAGTTCTGTATTTGTCCTGCAAGCCTCAGCAAGTACTTGATATGGATCTTAAAATACCACTGACTAATGAATCAAAGGAAAAGGCTTTGGCTTTTGCAGCACAACAGCAAATGTCAACTCTTGAGTATGAACGAAGGGCTATCACTGGCACACTGGAGAGCAGTACCATTCGTGCAGCGGTGGCCCTCCTAGGACTAACCAAGATTGAGGTAGTTTTAACAAAATGGGGACATATATTTGTTTGTTTGTTTGTTTGTTTGTTTTTGTTTATGTCTGTGTGTGCATATGTACACATTTGAGCCTGCATATGGTAGTAAATGCACATGGAAATCAGAGGAGAATTTTCAGGGATTAGTGTTCTCCTTTTACCATGTGATTCCCAAGGATCTAACTCAGGTCATTAGTCTTGAGGGCTAGTGTTTATACCTGGTGAATTGTCTCACTGGCTCTAATTATTCTTTGCAGTTCTCTTATTGTGTAGTTAGAATACTTTTAGATAGAAAGTGATGAATATTCTTTTTTCCTAGAAGGGAATTCAGTGATATTTTACTTCATTTTTTAAAAATATAATGGCATCTGAAATAATTTTAATTATCACCGTGTAGCCTTGAATTCCCAATAATTGTCAGTTCAAACTGAACAATCAGATGTTCTGGGGACCTAAAAGTAACTCCATCACAAATGCCTACTTTAGAACAATTATATTTGAATCTCAGTAAATATGTGAGCGGGAATAAGTTCTACAAGTTGTCCAAGATCATTCCTGGTATCAAATTGTGAAGCTCCTTATACACACTCTAACCATGCCCAACTGTGTGCTTAAATGGATGGTTACTTAAACCTCTTGAAGCTGCAGTTTTTATGTTTTTAATATAATGGTAACTGTGATTTATGAAAATTGAGAAATGTTTGTACAATGTCTATTAAATAAAGTTCTGTTCATGCATACTTGTGATTGCTGTTATGAATATTATCATCAGAATTATCATCAGGTCATTTTCTTCATCCTTGTTGAAAATATACAATAGATCAATCAATATCTGAACTAAATAGTTGACATTCTACAGATGCTTTATTTGTTCAGGTCCTATAACTGATGAAGCCTATTACAATATTTTTAAAAATGCATAAGATATTAAAGATGACCTTGATTTTAAAGCTCTCATAAGCTTGAATTTATCAAATACCAAGGATTGAACAGATTCTCAATTAAGTTAGCCCAAATACTTCCAAGAAGTTGTTTATTTGACTAAATCTCATAGTTCCATTGAATAGTGGATTTGGGGAGCCTTATATGCAGCTACCACAAGAAGTATCAGCCTAACATAAGAATATCCCTTTTCCTTTTTATGTTTTCAATTCTGTTTTCTCCACTATTCTCAAAATAATTTATTAAAAATGGTTAAGAGAATTTGTGTATGACAGTTTTTCTCTCTTTAAGTATGAGTTGATTTTATATTTATGTTGGCATATAAAGTTGGGTTTCATATAAGATTCACATTGACATTTATTTATTATTTCTCCTTTCAAATTGTAAATTCATAGAAATCTAAAAGGATTTGTTAAGCCTTTTGTCTGTCTTGATATCTAACACATGATGTCTATTCTGAGGTAAACAGTGCCACTTGTATCTTGCTTTACTTATACTCCTAAAGCTGCTGTTCAATTTTCATAAGTACAGTATTATATCTAGGGGAGGATTTAAGTAGGAATACACTGTAACCCACATTTTATAAATAATCGCCATATGAATTTAAAACATATAAAATCTAGATAAAAATATGTCTAAACATCTGGATATCCAAAAAGGCCTGAAACCTAGTTGTTTATATGTAGTCAAAGAAATTGTAATTAGGGAAGATGGTGATTTGGTAGGTCCAGCAAATGATGTTAGTATCTGATATATATATGTGAAGGAGCATAGGATTCTACTCATAAAGTAAAGCTGTATTTCAGGATTGTTCATTGGTAGAATATTTTCCTTTTTATGACAAGTTATTGGCGACTATGAGCATTAGAAAAGGGAACGATGGTCACTGTTAAAGATGACATCATTGGTAACTTCTATGGGTTAGTGCTACCTTCTACATATTTTGACAATAAAACCTCTAAAGAAATAAACTTATTTTTTGCTTTTTATCTCTTTTTTCTCACTTGTTTTATCTCAGCATACAATGCTACCCTGAGGTTTGGAGGTAAAAGTTAAGAAAATGATAATACAATCTCATTGTTCATTTACAGTGCCTTTTGCTCTTTAATACATCGAAGTTAAAAAAGCCTAAATCCATTTTATATGCAACAGAGCTGAGCCTTCCTGCACATTTCAGTATACCCAGGAAAATTTACATCCCTCAGGTTCCAGAGCCTCCAACTATCCGATCTCTAGAAATGAACCCTCAAATTGAAACAGGTAATCAATGATATTTTGAATAGAACATCTAGCAGTAATTTAGATATTTAAAGGCAGGAGCATACTAGAAGAGAATAGTGATTATTCATTATTAAAGTATCTTTGATGTTAACCATGTTTTTATTGTTAATATAATATTTTTGCTATTGATTTCCTGAAGCATGTCTATTTTGTAATTGTTGTCAGGAAGGTATAAATTTGATTAGCATGAATATTGGTACATAAGTACTATCACATATTAATAAGGTAGTAAACATATGACTAAATATTTTTTGCTGAAATTACTTTTCATTTTATTTTTATTCCTGTTAACTTTGTGTATAATACTAAGACTGTAATTTCATAGCTAGTGCTGTCTTCAAATAAACTATAACTACAGGTTTATATATGATGTATTTTGTTTTTAGTAAATTAGGGAAGTTTCTCTTAATCTCCTCTTGTTTTGTATTAATGTAAAATATTTCTAAGCCTGAGAGTGATTACAAATTATAAATCCAAGGATACTCTCTTTACTTTGCTTTTATAGGAGACCATCCACCCCAGAAGCAACTGCCAAGAACCCAAGCAGGTAACAAGGACTTAAGGGTTAGAACTAGAATATGTCAACAAACAATAACAGATCATGTGGAAAACATGAGTGGAAATTCCAGTTAAAATGAGTAAATAAGGAAATAAACAAATCAACAAATAGATAAATTCTGAGACAGAGTATTATGCAATAAGAAGGATTATATAACCCAAAATTAATGTAATCCGGAGTATATTGGTAAGGTGATTTGGGCAAGCAGGCTACAGGAAAGTGGTTAAAATCTTTGTTGTACGTGTAGATGCTATAGCATTCTTTACTTAAAGGTTGCAGTCTACAATGTACTAAATATAACAATTCATTATAAGAATTTTATATACTAGATATAAGGATATTAAGTCAAATATAAACACAAAAACAAATGTCTATTAAAGTTGCTAGCATATTTCGAGATGATTTTCATTCTTTTTTTTTTTTTTTTGGTTTTACCAGACAAGGTTTCTCTGTATTGTTTTGGAGGCTGTCGGCCCAGCCTGGCCTCGAACTCACAGAGATCTGCCTGCCTCTGCCTCCCGAGTGCTGGGATTAAAGGCGTGCGCCACCACCGCCCGGCGATGATTTTCATTCTTAAACTTTAACATTGCAACTAACAAAGATGATAGTTTAATTAGGAAAGATCAAACAGTCTGAAAACTACTACAGGCACAGCTTCTTCAGAAAACTATTTTTCACAATACTCTACTTGTATCAAATCTTGTTAATGATTTGTAAAAATCCAATTTGTAAATTGTTAGTGGAATGAATAAAAGAACATGCTTAATCTTTTTCCTCTCCTCATAGCAACCCCTTTTGGACACATTTATTCCTAGACCCTGAGTTGATTCTCATTCCAGAAATTTTATTTATGCTTATTGCCAGGCTTTTGTTATATGTGAACACAACTGTGTTATTTTAGGGTTTCTGTTGATTAGAAGTTACACTTTTACCATGGAAATTCTTCCAAAGAAAATTATTTGATTAGGTAGTTTGCAGATCAAATGTTCAGTCCATTATCATCATAATGGAACATGGTGACTTGCTGGCAGACATGGTGCTAGAGAGGTAGCTGGGAGTTCTCCATCTTCACAGGCAACAGGAAGTGAACTGAGCCACTGGGCATGACTTGAGCATAATTGAGACTTCAAAGCCTACCTCCACAGTGACATACTTCCTCCAACAAGGGTATATACATACTCCAACAAGGCTACATCTCCTACTACTGCCATTCCTTATGATCTTATGGGAACCAATTACATTCAGGCTACCACATTCCTCTCTATTGCCCCCATAAGCTTGTAACAATATCATAATGCAAAATGCATTTAGTCCAACTTCAAAAGTCCCCATAGTCTGTCACAGTCTCAACATTATTTAAAAGTCCAAAATTCAAAGTCTTTTCTGATATTCGTGCAAGCCCTTAACTGTAATCACCTGTAAAAATAAAAAAATAAAAAACCCCAAATCATACCATATACTTAGAACATATAATGATAAGGAATATACATTACCATTCCTAAGTGTAGGAAAGGGAAAATATTGGGGAAATTCATGATCAAAGGAAGATTAATCACAAATGCCAAACCCCGCATCTCCAAGTCTAATGTCAAAATGTTCTTCAGATCTCCATTTTTTAAGCTTCTTGACTGCAACACACTTCTTTCTCTTGGTCTGGTTTCACTCTCTGTTAGCAACTTTCCTTGGCAGTTATCACACAATTCTGGCATCTCTAACATCTTGGGTCCTCCAAGGCAATCCAGACTGCTTCAGAGCTTCACACAATGACCTCTCTGGGCCTTCATTTGGGAATACCCCTGATAAATATCTAGCCTCAGTAGGTTCTTTAGACGTGGGGGAATACTCCATAATCCCTTTCTTCTGACCTTGGCTCTAAGGCCAGAACCACCCAGCCAAACCTGTCAAATTCTGCTGCTGGCTGGGACTGGAACAGAGCCCCCTTGTTAAATTATATCTTCAGTAGCTTTCTGATTTTGATAGTTTCCTTCACACCCTAAGCCTGGCTGTCATCAAACTGGATGTGTAGATCAGGCTGGCCTTCAACTCTTAGATTTCCCTGAGCCTTAAAATTCCTTCGTCAACATTAAGCCAAGGGCTATCAGGCACCCCCAACTCCTTTTCAGTAGGCCATCTCTTGATTATTACTTCAGCTGACCATTCAAACTTTTGACACCTTGTTTTTGGAAAATGTGTGGTCTTCCATATTAAACCTAGAATCTCCACTCAGAGGGCCCATATCAATAGACTCAGTCTGATATAGTGTGATTATCCTTCTTGACTCTTGTCCCACAACCATTAAATTCATTCCCACGCATACTCCCCAGACTTGTGCTTGAATGAATTATCAAAATCAATAAACACCTTAGTAGTGTAGCTCACTTCCCCATGGACTGCACTTTCTACCTCACGCCTGGGAGCCTGCTTTGCCTTGATTCTGGTTATAGGTCTAGAGGCAAATATTGATGGTCCTTGAGGGACATTGTTATTGCTGGTTTAGCAGACACTGAAGGTTTATTTCTTCATTGTAATGTGAAAAGGGTGCTATTTGAAGGAACGGAGCTGAGGGTACTATTTCCTCAGGTGAGGTATACCACTGAGAATCTGAAGGTTCAAGGTTCTCAGCATCAATAGCATCCTCCACATATACCCATCCCAGGTTATAGGATCCCATTCTTTACCAATACATGCCCTTACTATAACCTCTGACATCCTCTGAGTCTGTGACTTGAATTGTCACTGTAATTTAACCAATTTTACATTGAGGGCTTTGGACTGATTTTTCTGCAACTCGAGCTCTGTGGCTGCTGGAGAGCAGACTGCCGGAGCACACTTATAAACCTGTAGACTTGTTTATGCACAGCTGGAGCCAGTCAACGTCATCACTAATTCCTTTGTTGTAGTTCACAGTATTCCAAAGTTGGTTAATTTTATCATGGAGCACATTTCTCTCATTATCAATATATCTAGAGATACTAATATTAATAGCAACCTGCATTATCACTTTCCTTATTTTCCCCAAACTGCCAAAAGTTTCACTAAATCCATGGCCATTCACTATTGATGAATGAAAATAATCAATGACATTTATCTCTTCAGGTTTGAAATATGGTTTCTTAGCTCCCAGAAGAGAGGGTGACAGGAGGGAATTCAGTAGCAGAAGGTACTGGTGAATATGAAAGTTCTGGCAAATTAAAAATCCTATTCCAGATATTTAAAAGATTGATCATCATAATTCTGTTTCTCTTGAACCATTCTAGTACCGAAATCTATGTTAGGGTTTCTATTGCTGTGAAGAAACACCATGCCCATGACAACTTTTACAAAGAAAATTATTTAATCGGGTAGTTTACAGTTCAGAGATACAGTTCAGTATTATCATCGTGGGACATGGTGAAGTGCAGCCCATCTTGACCCTGGAGAGGTAGTTGAGAGTTCTTCATATTGTGCAGACAACAGGAAGTGAAGTGAGTCATGGGCATGGCTTGAACATACAGAAGAACTCAAAGGCCTCCTCCAAAATGATACACTTCCTCCAACAAGGCCATATCTACTCCAACAAAGCCATACCTCCTAATAGTGCCACTATCTATGGGGGCCAATTACATTCAGTCTACCACATCAACCTAATGGGAAATGCATGGACCCATTCACTTCCTTTGGATGAGTCCCTCTTTATAATCAATTCATTTTCCTCTGTTCTATTGTTTTTCCCAAATATCAGGAATGAATTTCTATTTCTTTTTTAAAAATCTTGCTTGTTCCTACCAGAAATTGTTCTCCTTCACATACATAAGAGTATACTTACCATGCTCTCCTTTATTTTTGTAGCCCAGTTCTCAAACAAATCATTCCCTGCAATTTGAAATTCTAGGACTTTTGTAACAGTTATACCATCTTCTTTGATATCAGCCTGATATATTTCTATTTTCCATTACTATTCTGTCTATATCTACCTAATCGTAAACTCACTTTCTACTTTGGAAACCATAGAAACTGTAACTGGTAGCCTTTTTCTTACTATCTTCCCATACTTGGGTGCAGGTGAAAGAAAAAGTTTCCTATGCACCGTAAAGTTTTACTAGACCAAGCTAGCAAAGTTAACTGGTAAAAAAGTCATATAATTTAATATAATTTTATATTGTGCTGCATACACTGTATTGTTAGTTTTACTTGGTTCTGCTTTTTGTGGGACAGGATCTCTCTGTGTAGTCAGACCGGCCTAGAGTCCATCATCTTACTTCTTACCATGTCCTGGATTTATATGTGTGCTCACTTTCATAAGTAATTTTTGCCTTTTTCTTTTTTGTGAAGTATTGAGATGGAGCACATGTACATTTAAGAGGCAAGTTTTCTTCTACTGAATTGTCCCAAAAGCATCATTTTTTCTTAAAACTTTAAAGTATTTTCAGTTTTATAAGTAACTCAGTTTCACCGTTATGGTTTTATGTAAGAGATTTTAACTGCAACTTTAATTATTTTGTTACTATTTATTATTATTGTTTTCTCTTTGATCTTTACCAATGGCTACGCACTCTGTAATAATTCAAGCAGCATAGTTTAAATAGAAAATTTGTAACTTTTTAAATTTCTCATGAAGACACTGTGCATTAGCTTGGTAGCATTCATTAAATTATTTTATATTCTTAGTAGATCAGTCTTTAAGTAATTAAAATCAGTGAGCTGATTTTTAATGTATGACAATGAGGCAAATTTTACGGTATGAGAAATCAAAATGAAAAATACAAAGTTAATTTGCTATCAGCAGTTCCTTTCCCTCCTTCCCTATGTAAGTTTTAATTAGGAAATGAAATCTTATTTCAGCTATTTCTTTGGGAAATTTTGTATTCTTAAGAAATTATATATGAGAAGAAGCTTCCTATTTAAAATGGTAACAATGTACCACTTCTTCATAGACCTTTTCTTAATTTTCCATTATATGCTCCATGAAGACACACAGAAATTATAATTAAAACTAAGCAATAATGGAAAGATAACAACAAGCCATTTATGAGTCCCGTGAGGAACTTCCAGTAATTGCTGAGCTGATGTGACTGGACTGAAAAACACAGTTTTTTTGTCCTTCCTTTGCTAAAATATAATTTAGGTGTAAAGAATAATTAATCTATTTGCCTGATATCTTTTTTCTCAGAACCTTATTTATGTGTACCTATGAGAATACTGATTATGTGCCACTTCATGTTGAATACTTTCATACTTAGCATAGTAGTCCAAAACTATCGTTCTGTTGAATGAATGTATAGTAATTGCTTTTGAAGGAGTCCAGACTGTAAAATATTTAGAAGTCTCTTAATCTTATTCTTGTATTCCTCTTGAAAAAAGGACATCTGGGCTTAAAATAACTATAACTGTGGGAGAAAATTTCTCCAAAATTATCCTATCAAGGAAGTGTACAATCTTGTGTGACTGTCTGGTCAATAGTTAAGGTGTTGGTGAGAGTGGTGGCGTAATTGGGAAGCAGCTATATAAGTTGTGTTATATGCAATTGATGGGGATAGAATTTATATAACGTAAAAATTTTCACTGGAGTTTTTAATCAATGTTTCAATACATATCAGAAAATATCCTTCCTATATTTAATAGGTGGATGCTAGTTTAGTGCAGACAATTGGCCCCAAATCTGTATGTTGAGCTTACTGTACATTTAAGTCTAAGTGATAGGAGAGTAAGAACCTGTACAAATAATCAATTAGGAAGAGTACATCTCCCCTAATTTTAGAATCAGAAGGAAAAATGGAAAGATGCAAATGAATAGCCAATGTATTTTTTACTACTAAGCTACCATTCATGAATAATTCATAACATTTTAAACTAACAATGAAATTGAGACTTTTTTTTACTTTTTTATTTTAATTTTAAATAGCTTGTTTTACATGTAAATCCCAGTTCCCTCTCCCTCCCCTTCTCCCGCAACCCCCACCATCCCCCCATCCTCCCACCCTATTGCCAATTCCTTCCCCATAGGGGATGTCTAGAGTCTATCATTTCACTCAGGGTAGGGTCCAGGCACTTCCCTAAGAGTCCAGGCTGAGAGAGCATCCCTCTTTCTGCTATGGGCACACGATGTCTGTTAGTATTCGAGGGATAAACACTGATCCACTGCTCAGGACCCCATAGGTAGCCCAGGCCTCCTCATTGACTCTCACATTCAGGGGGTCTGGATCAGTCCCATGCTGGCCTCCCAGCTATTGGTCTAGGGTCCAAGATCTCTCCCCTGTTCAGATCAGCTGTCACTGCTGGTTTTGCCAGCCTATTCTTTGCCAATTTGCTCTTTGCTCCTCTCTCTCTGTCGCTGGGTTCCTTGGGTTCTGTTCAGTATTTAACTGTGGGTGTTTGCTTCTGCTTCCATCAGTAAAATGTAGATAATTATTAATGAAACTAAAGAAATCAATTGTAGTTTAAGAAGATGAAATTTATTTTAAAAAATAAACTTAGATTCCTTTTACAATTGTTGGTAAAATAATTGGTAAACATGGATACTCCCTCTAGAAGTATTAACAGTGACGCATATCTCATAGCAGGTAACAGGCAGGCATGGTGGCCAAGCAACAAGTTGATAGCTCACAATTGAATAGTTACTATACAGTTGATGTAGGTTCATGATAATAAAGTTATCTTACTTTGTATTACAATATGTTTTGTGCCATCAAATTCATTGTTGAAAGTCATTTACGAAAAAACTGTTCTTGAATTAATAATGTTAATCTATATTTATCAATAGAGCTATCGTTGAACATGGAATATATAGGCAATTTTCATTCTTTTTATGAAATGAGGAAATGCAGTAATGAGAAGATACTATTTTTTTCAAATGCCATGGGGCTTTTTTAATTTATTTAAATTAAAAACAATCTCACTTTACATATAAATCCCAGTTCCCTCTCTCTCCCATCCTCCCATTCTCCCCATAATCTTCCCATCCCACAACCCCTCATCCACCCTCAGAGAAAGTGAGACCTCCCATGGGGGATCAGCACATCATTTGGGGCAGGGCCTAGGCCCTCCCACCTGTATCTAGGCTGGGAGAGTATCCCACCATAGGGAATGGGCTCCAAGAAGCCCATTCATGCACTAGGAAAAAAACTGGTTCCACTGCCAGTGGTCCCATAGACTCTCTAAACCCCCCACTGATAACCCATTTTCAGGGTGCCTGTTTCAGTCTTATGCAAGTTACCCAACTGTCAGTCTGGAGTCCATGAACTCTCCCTTACTCAGGTCAGCTGTTTGAGAAGATGTTACAATACAATGAAACTGTCACTTTTTATTTATTGAATTATTTGTAAGGCCGATGATCTACTGCCAATTAAAAACATGACAAAAGAACAAGAAAGGACAAAATTACAATTAGCATGCTTGGCTTTGACTTTTGATAAAAAATTTCCATGAGTTTTTAGAAATATGTTTCATAATGGGTCATCTGTTCTCTGTCAACATAATTTTCATAGATTCATTTTCAATACACGGATGTAAATTAGTACATATATAGTTTTTCACATTTAGTAGCTCATTTTCAAATGAAGACTGTGTTTGCTCTTTGGGAGTGATATGGTTAAAAATTAACTAGAAGGTAATATCTTAATATTTTAGTTGATTACTCTCATGTTTGATGCACTTTTGTATTATGGAAAATGAGTTCATCAAAAATACAAGATAACATTTTCATGAATTCTACTTACAATGATTTTTTTCTTAGATCTGGAGAGAAAGAATATAAATGTTTATTCTTTAGAGTCTCTCACTTAATTATTTGGTGTATAATATAAACATAAGAATGACCTTAGCTTTCACTTCATGCTAATATTGTTATTGTGTGTTCATAAAAAATGAAGTTAAAAAACTATTCAGAGTAGAGAATTTCAATTTCGCAAAAGTATGCCAGATAAAACTGGATCCTTCTTATAGTCCCTTCACTTATTCACTCTGAGTTAAATGGAGCCATTTGACTGTTGCTTACCAGTTAAATATTTCATATTAATTTGATATTGAATACTGAAAATACCATGAAATACTCATTCCTCTTACACTGAATTGCCATCAAAAATGTAAGATAAAAGCAATATAGGGATGTATTTCAAAACATGGAGACCCTATTGACCTTTTTTTTGTTTTTTTATCATTATTTTTTTATTTTTAAGTTTAAATTTAGATTAGAAACATGGTTGGTTCACAAGTCAGTTCCAGGTCCCTCTCTCTTTCCCTCCCCTCCTCCCGTGCCCTCCCCCCAACTTCCCCATTATCCCCTCATTTCCCCAGGTAGGGTGAGGCCCTCCATGGGGGTGTCTATAGACTGCCCTATTGACCTTTTAGAGTGTGATAAAATTGAAACAGAACATGTAACATTAGAGATATCTGGTTTATTCTAAGTAGATGCGATCTCACAGAATAATATTAAATATCGCATGCCAAAATTAATTTTTGGTCTTATGATATTTAAAATGACTACTGTTTTTAAATTGTTTTGTTAGCTTTAGAAGGAACTGTTTCGGTTCCTCTACGATTTGCTCCTCTTGGGCCTGGACGATACCCTTGTAAAATTTTGTTGGTATCAAGATATGATGTGCGTGTGTATGTAATTGAAGGTGTAGTAAATGAAGAAGAACCAGAGGCTGAATTGTTGTTTAAAACACCAGCATTTGAACCCCTCACACAGCATATCCCAATAGTAAGTGAAAACTTGTTTTTCTGACTGTTTTCATGTTTTACTGGAGCTTCAGCCATAAAACATGACTCTGTGTAAGTGCTAAACAACATTAAGAGGAAACTACTTCATATTTTCCTAAATATATAATAAAACCAGAGAAAGAACCATTAGGATATTTCTACCTTCTCTGAGCAGTATTACAAATTTATAGAAAAGATATAATAGCCAGGAAATACATTTCAGGATGCTACATTTTGAGATTCTACACTATTTTTCCTGTCTCAAACTCATCCTAGCCTCTCATTTTGAGGTTTCCCATATCTGTTATAGTTGTATTTTAGGCTGGAAATTGTGTTTCCTCATTATTTCATGGTTTCTTCCTGAATGTAAATTCAATTGCAATTCATGCATCATTTCTGGATCTCCAGGATTCACAAGACTGGTACTTGCATTGCCATCCCAAGTTAATTTTATTTTGTATGACTTCAGAAATATAAGAATTGACATATAATTCCGCTTTACCAATGTTACTCCTCTAATATATGTGTAACTTTTCATGTTTTAGAAAAATGAAACAAAGAAACCTTGGAGAATTGTGATTAAAATAGAAGGAGAGTGGTTTTATGGGCCTCAGATTTTACATGTTGGCCCTGGTGAAACTATCCAGTATCCTTTGACATTCAAACCCATTATGGAATGTGAAATTATGGTATGAAATCATGGATTCTTTCTTTTATTTCTTTTCATTTAACTTTTTACACATGTTACTCTCAGTTATTTCTCCCTACCCTCTGCTCCCAGTCCCCCATCCTCCCAACCCCCCACTCCACTCCATCTTCCATCCACTCCCCAGAGAGGGTAAAGGCTTCCATGAGGGATTTTCAGAATCTGTCATATCATCCCGTGCACTGTCTAGGTCCTCCCCCATGTGTCCAGGCTGAGAGAGCATCCCTCCAAGGTCCCACAGATTGCCAAGGCTTCTTCTCTGACACCCACGTTTGGGGGTGGTGGGGGTGTGTCTGGATCAGTCCCATGCTGGCCTCTTGGGCATCAGTCTGGGGTCCATGCATTCCCCCTTGCTTAGGTCAACTACCTCTGTGGGTTTCGCCAGCCTGGTCTTGATTCCTTTGCTCATCACTCCTCTTTGCAAGTGGGTTCCAGGAATTCAGTTTGATTTTAGCTGTGGGTGTCTGCCTCAGCTTCCACCACTAGATTATGAGGGTTCTAGGATGGCATATAGGGTAGTCATCAATCTCATTACCAGGGGAGGGCATTTAAGTAGCCTTAATGCCAGTTGGTATCATTCTTGTAGATCTGTGAAGATCTCACTAGTGCCAGATCTCTCCTCCAACTTATAATGGCTCCCTCTATTATGATATCTCTCATCCTTCTCTCCTCTTCTCTGCTCCTGCTCTCCCATGTCCTACTCTTACCTACTCTTCCCCCCTTCTCTTTCTCCCATCTCCGTCTCCTCTACCCTTGCCCCTGCTCCCAACCCAATTAGAAGATCTCTCATAACTCTTCTCCGGGTTACCATGCAGATATGGATTCATTCTTATATAATATTTGAATGATATAGATAGTAGTCAATGTAGTTAGTTACACAAATATTGACTAACAATTTGTATATTCTATAAACTTGATAGTTTTTCTTAAAATGTTTGAAAGGACAATAGGTATCATGTCCCAATACTATTGTCTATGAATATTTTTATCTGAGTTATTTTCAGAAAGCATGCTCACTGAATATGAAACATTGTTCCTATCCATTAAGTCAGTTGCTGCATCTGAATAGTCTCCCTTAGGAATAGTTCTTTGACAGGGTAGTAAATACACATGTAATTGTGTGAGAATACTTATATAATACATAATTTCCAGAAAGATAAAAAATAATAGAATTTTATTAGTACATTCTTTATTTAATAAAATAATTTTATATGAACTGGAAGCTTCAGTGACTGTTTCATAAAGCTTCTTTTTTTACCTGAGACTCAAGAAGAATAGTGGGAGAAATTGCTTGACATTTAATTATGACTTCTGAGTGCTGTAGAGTTGAAACCTGTCTTTTTTATCATAGGGTAAACTTACTTTACAAAATGAAGTAGATGGTATGGAACACATCATTGAAATTGATGGGATTGGGATGAAACCTCTGGCCTTGGATCACATTGTTATAGACTGTAAAGTGGGAAATGTGACAGCTAAGTCCATAATAGTGCCTAATTATACAAAAAGTCTCCTGACATTTAAGGTAAGACATTTTTAGTAAGAACATTCTTCCTTCTGAATACACTTTATGTGAATTATGTTAATAATGTGAAAATTTAAATAATTCTTCTTCTGTTATTATTCCACAGGCTAATAATTTTAATTTCTAAATGGGTTTAGCATGAAATAAGTTTGTTATTGTTGTTATTACTTTATTTTCTAATTTCTTTTGTGCTTATTTGATTTATTTGAGATAATGACTTGCCATAGCCTCAAACTTCAGTTCTCAGGTGCTTGGGGGTAGCCACCTGCTACCACATCTAACTATAAACAAGTTTTATACTAAAATATGAGTGTGTAACTATGAAACTCTTTCAAGTTTACATATTTGTATCATGTTTATTTTTCTTGAGTATATTATACATACATAATACAAGATAGTTTCAAGAAAATGTAGGAGCATAATTATTTTTTAAATATTTTTAAATAGAGTATCTTTTTGTAGCCTATGCTTATATCAAACTCAAAATCATCCTCTTTATCTACTAAATGCAGAAATTGCAAGCATATTCCACTGAGCTGGTGCAAGAGGCATTGTTGAGAATCTGTGCTTAAGTCTGTACAAGACTCTGAGTTTAATCCTCAGCATCAAAAATAGAAATCCAAGTCTTACTCTTGTTTTTTTTACCTACAAATTATAATATATCCAATCTGCTCATCAAAACAAGCTTTATCTATCAACCATAGGTCCTGCATTCATCTTCAGAGGAGATGACAGAAATGTGGAAACTCCCTGAGCTCATCCTATGCTTCTTTTAAATCTCAAAAATATATTTTGGTTTACTTCTTACTAGATTTCAAATAATTTCTTTGTGACAAGTACTATAAGTTTAAATCTCCTCTTGTCAGTACTCACTAAAACCTTTAAGTATCGACTCTTAGCATCAGGATGTTGTCTGTAGTACCTGATGTGGCTTTTACTTACTACATGTTATTGTCCTGTTTACTATTCTTCATTGTATGAGTATAATATATTCATATATATTCTCCCCACTTGTCCCTCCCCCCTTTACCTTGCCCATCCTTCAACCTGTCTGTCCCTATTCATCCCTCCCTTTCTTACCTGTCTCCTTTATCTCTCACTTTCTCATATCCAGGACTTTTTTTTCACCATTTACAGTTTTTAATGAGGGTGACTTCATAATTACAATGATAATTTAAACATAATTTAAAACTGGTAGTTTTATTTTCATGTCATATATTCTGATGTTCACTAGTAACATAAATATCCATCAGTAAGAATGTTAAATATATTATACTTATATGGTAGGACTCTCTCCTATTTTTAGATTATTGATTTCAAAAAGCCAGACAGTGTGATGTTATTGGTCTTTGTCTGTTCTGGGCAAGGTAAGAAATCCTGGACTAGGGGACAAGATGTAGTCACGGATTCACCATGAGCACTTCCTTTCCCAGCTCAAGCTTCTAACTTTGCCTAAACACCATGTTCTACCCAAGAAATCAGTCATCATGATATTGGCATCTTTGTTTTGTTTCTAATTCCTTGAACTGTCTTTTCCCCCCTGCAAACTGTGTGCCACTGGTTCTTTTTTTTTTCTCCAGATTTATTTGGGTAAAAAAAAATCAGATATAACCTTTCAAAAATTACATTAATGTTTAACATGCATTCAAATAACTTTCTTTTTTTCCAGTTTAAATTTAGATAAGAAACGAGGTTCCTTCACAAGTCAGTTCCAGGTCCCGCTCCCATTCCCTCCCCTCCTCCCAAGCCATCACCCCAACCCCCCCACCCGTTATCCCCTCATTCCCCCAGGGAGGGTGAGGCCCTCAATGGGGGTATGCATAGTCTGTCATTTCATATAGGGCAGGGCCTAGACCCTTCCCCAAGAGTTCAGGGTGAGAGTGCACCTCACATTGTTCTATGGGAGTCCAAAGTCCGTGTGTATACTTGGGATGGGTACTGATCTGCTGCCCAAGGCTCAATAGGTTCCCTAGGCCTCCTCATTGACACCCAAATTCAGGGGGTATTGATCAGTCCCATGCTGGATTCCCAGGATTCAAGAGTTAAACTTTGTCTGGTCAGCTGTTTCTGGGGGTTAAACCAGCCCAGTCTTAATCCCTTTTATCACCAGTCCTCCCTCTCTGTTACTGGCTTTCTTGAGTTCAGCTCAGTACTTAACCGGCCACTAAATGAAGTTTCTGTTTCCCAGACTCTCTGGCCATAGGATTGTAGGTTGGCACTCCCCAGATCTATGTCTAAAATCCATATATGAGAGAGTACATGCCATGTTTCTCTTTTTGTGACTGGGTTACCTCACTCAGGATGGATTCTTCTAGTGTCATCCATTTGCCTGCGAATCTCATGATTCCATTATTTTTTTCTGCTGAAATAGTACTCCATTGTGTAGATGTACCACATTTTCTCTGTCCACTCTTCGGGTGAGGGACATCTAGGTTGCTTCCAAGTTCTGGCTATTACAAATAAAGCTGCTATGAACATAGTGGAACAGACATCTTTGTTGTATGAATGGGCATCTTTTGGATATATGCCTAAGAGTGGAGTTGCTGGGTCATGTGGTAGGTTTATTCCCATTTTTCTGAGGAATCTCCATACTGATTTCCAAAGTGGCTGAACCAGTTGGCACTCCCACCAGCAATGGAGCAGTGTTCCCCTTTCACCACATCCTCTCCAGCATAAATTGTCATTGGTGTTTTTGATTTTAGCCATTCTGACAGGAGTGAGATGGTATCTCAGAGTTGTTTTGATTTGCATTTCCCGGATGGCTAAGGATGTGGAGCACTTTCTCAAGTGCCTCTCAGCCATTTTAGACTCCTCTATTGAAAACTCTCTATTTAGTTCTGCAGCCCACTTTTTAATTGGGTCCTTTGCTGTTTTGGAGACTTGCTTCTTGAGTTCTTTGTAAATTTTGGAGATCAACCCTCTGTCAGATGTGGGATTAGTGAATATTTTTTCCCATTCTGTAGGCTGCCTTTTTGTCTTGGTGACTGTGTCCTTTGCCTTACAGAAGCTTCTCAGTTTCAGTAGGTCCCATTTATTAATTGTTGATCTCACTGTCTGTGCTACTGGTGTTATGTTCAGGAAGCTGTCTCCTGTACCAATTCGTTCAAGGGTACCACCCACTTTCTCTTCTAAGAGGTTCAGTGTGAGTGGATTTATGTTGAGGTCTTTGATCCATTTGGACTTAAGTTTTGTGCATGGCGATAAACATGGATCAATCCGCATTCTTCTACATGCCAGTCTCCAATTATGCCAGCACCATTTGTTGAAGATGCTTTCTTTATTCCATTGTATATTTTTAGCTTCTTTGTCAAAGATCAGATGTTCGTACGTGTGTGGGTTAATACCCGGATTTTCAATTCGATTCCATTGGTCTACCTGTCTATTTTTGTGCCAATACCAAGCTGTTTTCAGGACTATAGCTCTATAATAGAGCTTGAGGTCAGGGATAGTGATGCCTCTGGACGTTGCCTTGTTGAACAGGGTTGTTTTGGCTATCCTGGGTCTTTTGTTTTTCCATACAAAATTGATTATTGTTCTTTCAAGGTCTGTGAAGAATTGTGCTGGGATTTTAATGGGGATTGCATTGAATCTGTAGATTGCTTTTGGCAGGATTGCCATTTTTACTACATTGATCCTACCTATCCAAGAGCATGGGAGATCTTTCCATTTTCTGAGGGCTTCTTTAATTTCTTTCTTTAAAGATTCAAAGTTCTTACGATACAGGTCTTTCACTTGTTTGGTTAGCGTTACCCCAAGGTATTTTATGTTGTTTGTGGCAATTGTAAAGGGTGATGTTTCTCTGATTTCTCTTTCAGCCCTTTTATCATCTGTATATAGTAGGGCTACTGATTTTCTTGAGTTGATCTTGTAGCCTGCCACTTTGCTGAAGGTGTTAATCAGCTGTAAGAGTTCCCTGGTAGAGTTCTTTGGGTCATTGATGTAAACTATCATATCGTCTGCAAACAGTGAAAGTTTGACCTCTTCCTTCCCAATTTGTATCCCCTGATCCCCCTTTGTTGTCGTATGGCAATAGCTAGAACTTCAAGTACCATGTTGAAAAGGTATGGAGAGAGTGGACAGCCTTGTTTTGTTCCTGATTTTAGAGGAATTGCGTTGAGTTTCTGTCCATTTAGTTTGATGTTGGCTGTTGGTTTACTGTATATAGCTTTTATTATGTTTAAGTATGTCCCTGTTATCCCAGATCTCTCCAAGACCTTTATCATGAAGGGGTGTTGGATTTTGTCAAAGGCTTTTTCAGCATCTAGTGAGATGATCATGTGATTTTTGTTTTTCAGCTTGTTTATATGGTGGATTACGTTGATGGATTTTCGTATGTTGAACCATCCCTGCATCCCTGGGATGAAACCTACTTGATCGTGGTGAATGATTGTTTTGATGTGTTCTTGGATCCGATTTGCCAGTATTTTATTGAGTATTTTTGCATCAATGTTCATGAGGGATATTGGTCTGAAGTTCTCTTTCTTAGTTGTATCTTTGTGTGGCTTGGGGATCAAGGTTATTGAAGCCTCATAGAAAGAGTTTGGCAAAGACCCTTCTGCTTCTATTGTGTGGAACACTTTGAGAAGAATTGGTATAAGCTGTTCTTTGAAGTTGTGGTAGAATTCTGCACTGAGGCCATCTGGACCTGGACTTTTTTGGTTGGGAGACTTTTGATGACAGCTTCTATTTCCATAGGGGTTATAGGTCTATTTAAATTGCTTATCTGTTCTTGATTTAGTTTTGGCAAATGATAGCTGATCAGGAAGTCATCCATTTCCTTTAAATTTTCGATTTTTGTGGAGTACAGGTTTTCAAAGTATGACCTAATGATTCTCTGGATTTCCTCAGAGTCTGTTGTTATGTCCCCCTTTTCATTTCTGATTTTGTTAATTTGCGTGTTCACTCTCTGCTGTTTGGTAAGTTAGGACAAAGGTTTGTCTATCTTGTTGATTTTCTCAAAGAACCAACTCTTCGTTGCATTGATTCTTTGTATTGTTTTC